GAACCCAAGGTCCCCAGACCTGGTGCTCACCTCTGGGCTGTTCCTTCCGGAACGCCCTCTCTCCCCGCCCCCTCCGTACACCTACCCCTGGTTAACTCCTGCTTATCATGGATGCAAGCATCCCGTGGATTCAGTCTGCAAGCATTCCGTGACCAGCTGCCCCCCACCCAGGGCAGGGGCAGATGCTTGTCTCGTGGCCCACAGACCCCCGTGCCCTCCTGCCGGGCTGGAGAGCCCCGAGGATCGGGGGTCTGTGTCCCTGTCCTCGCTGCGTGCCCTGCTGGCTGGCACACGGCAGGCACACAGTGCAGGCTTGGTGAATAAGTGAACGCCAAAGATCAGTTCATCAGGGTGTTAAAATTGCCAAGAAGTTTAAACCTGCCCCCCTCTTTTACACCAAGCCTGAGTTCATCAGAAACTCCCCCACAGACCAGCTTCTGGTCTGTGCAGGCACTGGCCACAGAGCCCTTCACGAACTGCACGCGAAGGCCAGGAGGCAGGCGTCGGGGCACGCTGGCCGCAGGGCACTGCCAGGTCCCGGGCGTCCTGCTGCCTCTCAGCCCCGCACCCTTTCCACCCCAGCGCCCCCGGAGGTGAGCAGAGAGAAGGAGCAGGGAAAGAGAGGTCAGGGTACAGTCAGGCTCAAGAAATGAGCTCAGATGGCTAGAGCAGGGCCTGATACGCCGAGGTTGAGGGGTTCAGTCCCCGGTTAGGACGCACGGAAGAATCAACCAATGAGTGCATAAGTCAGTGGAACAACAAATCAGTCTCTCTCTTTCACATGCACACGCACACACACATCCCAATAAAGAAAACTTTTAAAAGAGAAATGTCGGTATCAACACTGTCTGCTTTGTTCCAGGAAACCCGAACTACAGAGTCATCCTCTCAGTTCTCCGGGGGAGAGAGGGAAGCACAGCCGGGGCCGGGGCCTGCCCCAGAGACACAGGTCCCATCGGTGGAAGAGAGGAATCAGCCCCCTCGCGGCCCAGAAATCTTACCCCAAAGCACAGACCTCAGCCCGGACCGTGAGCAGCACAGGCCAGGAGTCCGGGCACCCACCGCCCAGAGCCGCCCCGCCCCCGCCCCACCTTCCTCCTTTCTTCTAGAGATCACGGGTGGGGAGGAAGCGCCGGATCTGGACGTTTATTTACCATTCCTTGGCCTGACCTTCCAGGAAGAATGTCACTAATGAGAAACAATCGACCTGGAGTCCCAAGCCCGGAATTTCCACAGGGATCGATTCAGGATTTCGGAGTCTGCACGGGGCCCGGGGGACACAGACGGTCTGCCCCTCGACCGAAACAATGACCGAATTTTTCCCGCCTGGGAGGAAATGCCGTGTGTGTCACCCCAATGTCAGATGTGAGGTCCCGTCTCCCCCGTCCTTCCAGCCCCTCCGGGAGAAGAGGGGGGCACTCACCTTCACGGGGTGCAGGCTGGGGGAAGCCGAAAATAAAAGCAGAGCGCTGGCTGGGACGGAAGTCTCCCCGGTTCGAGCACTGACCTTCCAGTGGAGGCTGGGAGCCAGGAGCTCTGCTCTCGAGACCAGATCTCACTCCCATCCAAATCGGAGCTCTTTCCATTTTGGCGAGCCACGGCCATGGCCGTCCTCGAAGAGTGGACGCCGCTCGAAGACAGGGGCCCGTCTGCCTCGAGTGCGGCTGCGTCCCAGGGCCAGCGAGTGCCGGTCATGTGGTGGCGGGTCCTCCTCCCACGTGAATGAACGAAGCCGTTAGCCGGTGAGAGACAGCTGCGCAGAACCGGTCAGTCGACTGTATCACGTCCCTTTTAAAAGTAGTGTTTCCCAGCGGGTGCAGAGGTTTTTCTTTTTACGATGCTTTCACGACAGAACCCAGAATGTTCCGGGTCACCTGGCCCACTCGTCTTGCTTGCTCTAAGGACGATGCATCAGTGACAAACGCTATTGTAGATCCAGCCGGTCATTAAACAGTGCGAACCACAAACTCACAAAGTCTCTTTAAACTCTGCCTCACATCTGGCTGCCTCTGTGGGTCGTAAAACCTCTCAGGTGTCGGACGCTCTGTTTCATTTAGTCTCAGCTCAGAGGAAACCCCTCTCCACCCACTGCAGAGCCGCCACGGCTGGGCGCCGCTGGGGTCTCCACAAACCGCCCCTGGCTGACCAGGAAGGCGGCGGTGTGACTCCAGCCAGGACCAGCTCTGTCCCCCTGCGCTCCGGCCTCCACTGCTTCCCTTTGGTGGAGACCACGGACGTGAGCGCAAATTCTGGCTCTGCCACTGAGCAGCTGCGTCCACCCTGGAGAGCTGGCTCCCTCCGGGGCCTCAGTCTCCTTCTCTGTGAAATGGGGACAACTGTGCCTACTTCACGACGTTGTTGGGAGACTTCAAGAACCTGGTGGATACAGAGTATTAGCGAGAGCGTCTGGCACGCTGTCCATACTGTGTGTTAACTAATGCTTCTGTCTCTCCACGGCGGGCCCCTGTGGTTCTCCAGGACCTCTTGGCCCTCCTAGGAAGGAAAACTCAGCAAGTAGTTTGCCCTTTTTGGGCATTGTCCATGCACCTGCCTCATCGAAGCCTTCCAGACCACATACGGATCCAGACAGGAGTTTGCACCAGTGATTTAAAGGGGCAATGGCAGAGGCTCCGCTAGATGCCCTGCCTTGCATGCCCCCAGGACAAAACCCCCCCAGGAGGGCGACTCCAGCCACCCCTCCAGCCTGAATGTAAACCCAGGCTTCCTGCCCCCTCAGCTCATCACGCAGCACCACCTCAGCCCCTCAGCCGTTTGGAGCGGGAGAATGGCAGGGGGGACTGCGGGGCTTGGGGAGGGGCGGAGGTCCCTAGGGCTCTCTGCTCAGCCCCAGCCCCTGGCCTGTTCAGACAGGGTTACAGCCTTCCATCACTGCGGCCACATGACCCAGAAGTCTGGGCTGCTGTCTCTGACTACCGCCACGAACTTGAGAATCTCTTCCATTAACACAGTTCATCACGTCCCCCGAAGCCCGAGTACTTTCAATATCCCTCCGCCATGTGCACTGCCCATGCTTATGATGAGGAAACTGAGGCTCAGTGAGTCACCCAAAGCAAAGCGCGTGGCATCTAGGCCAGGCTGCCTTGTTTGAACTGTCGGTGGGGACACTTTTCCTGTGTCACACTTGCATCTTGCACAGGAAGCCACGCGATTCCTTGGTGCAACAGATGAAGGGGTGGCGGATGGACACCGACATCCCCCTCCGTGGGAAAACGATGTCCACCGCACACCCCAGTAACTCTGGAAAAACATAATGACGCGTGGCCCGAAGGGATCACACCAGTTGTCTGCCCAGAGCTGGGATCCACCGGATCCCAGGGAACAGATCCCTGGCGAGGCCAGAGAGGAACTTCATTCTGAGCCCGAGCCTCCTCCCTCCTGGCTGGAAGCAGCAGCCCCAGGTGCTCCCGGCTCACCGCCCCGTCTGCAGGCTGTGAGCAGGGGCCCTAATGGCCATGATGCCTCCAGTGTGGCGTTCAAACCAATAAGGCTTCAGAGAAGTTACGGTATGTTTAATAACGGCTTAATGACTGCTCGCGAGATGCAAGGCTTCTGGTTCCTGTTTGGCCTTGATTTACGGCCCCGCTCGGGCTGAGGACAGCCACGAAGCCCCTTCTGAGCCCCCAGCGGAAGAGGGAGGTGTTCACACCAGGCTTCTTGGATTCCTTTAAAAATTGAGAATTCAAATGAAACACAAATGATGTTTGACTCGCCAGCCACCTCTCCTCCCTGGTCTCTGGAGGCACAGAAAATAAAGCACGGGGGGTGTGGCTCATTCCCCAGGGGGACCCCTCAATCCACAGAGGCGAGCAGGGCCCGCTGGTATTTCTTATGCCGTGGATCCCAGGCAGGGTGGGGGTCGAGTCTCTCATCGGAAATCAGGCTGAGGTACTGCGTTCATCCTGTGCTTCCCTTTGGCTGGAGAGCCACCGCCCCCCCCCCCAGGAGATGCAATGCTCCCACCCTCTTTTCTCTGCAAAATGGCCAGCCTGGGGCAGAGGAGCCCCCGTCTGAGCTGCAGGCAGCCCCTCTACAGGGGGTGCCCCCTCCCCCCCCGCCCCCCCCCTCCCACTCGCAGATCATCTGCCGGCTGACAAGCATTCACCCCGTGCCTGCCATTCAAACCCAAACCCCGCACCTCTCCGCCACCTGCTCCAAAGGTCGCCTCTGCGGGTCTCCCCTCAATTGCCCCGGGAGAGTCTCCCTACGCGCTCAGGCCCTGCGCCGCTTCAGACCCACCAGGAATCCGTAGAAAGAGGCTGAGGGCTGACTCGGTCTGACCTCCACAGTTAGATGAGGAGAGGGGCTGGCCGGTTCCAGGTCCCACAGCTAAAGACAGGGCCCAGCCCCCAGCCCCACGGCAGAGCCATTTGCACACCACACGCCCGGTGACTCTCCATCCCAGGGAGACGCCAGAGCTAAGGGAGGTGTTTGCTGGAGGCGACCTTTCCCCAGCCCCAGCAAGGAGTTAGGTCACGTCCCAGCCCTTACCTGCCTCGGCCCTTATCCTAGACTGATGTCTGGAGACCAGGCCTACAAGTTCTACTGGGGGGGGGGGCGGTATGCGTTTGGGGGGGAGGACTGCCATCCCCCTCTAGGGCCAAGAGGCTCTAGACCGGGTATCAGGACCAAGGGTGCTGCTCTGAGCAAGGGACTCCCGGAGACGGGCAGACAAAGGGGTCTGTCTGCCCCTTTCCTCCAGCTGCCTCGGGTAGGCAGGCTGGGGTGAATCTGGGGGCTCTCGGGCTCCGAGGGGTTAACCCGCGCAGGGGCCGCACGTGACGTGGATGGTTCCAGCCGAGGCGCGGCCCCCTCCGCTGCCCGCCGCGCCCCCCCCCCACCCCGCCCCACCAACGCGGCGCACGCAGCTCCCGGGGGCTCCGCGCCCCCGAGCCCAGGTCCCTCCCCCTTGGCGGGCGCTCACAGGCCGCGCGGGCAGCGCGAGCCCCGGAGCCCCGGCGGCCTCTGCGCCCCGAGCCGGCATGGACCCCGAGCGCTGTGCGCCTTTCAGCGTGGGGCCCGGGCCCGACCTCTATGCAGCCGCCGGGGATGAGCCTCAGGACGCCCAGGGGACCTCCGCCACCGCGCCTCACCTGCACCCCGTGCCGCCCCGGGGCCCGCGACTGACCCGCTTTCCGGCCTGCGGGCCCCTGGAGCCCTACCTCCCAGAGCCGGCCAAGCCGCCCACCAAGTACCTGCAGGACCTGGGGCCCGGCCCGGCGCTCAACGGCGGCCACTTCTACGAGGGCCCCGAGGAAGGTAACGCGCGGCGCGGGGTGCGGCGCGCAGCTGGACCCGCTCCCCTTTCCTCCCCGCCCCGCCCCGGCCTGCCCGCTTCCCTTCCCGGCTCGACTGTTTCCCAACTTGGCGACCCTCTCGCCCCGGCCCATGGCTGCCTTGGGAGCGGGACGCGCGGTGGTCCAGGCCCGGCAAAAGCCGGCACGGCGCGGGAGGCAGAGCCACGCGAGCCCTCGGCGGCCGCAATGGGAGGCTGGAGGTCGAGGAAGGGTGGAGCGGCGAAGGCCGGGGCCCAGCTGGGCCCGAAGGCGGCGGGAGCCTGGAGGGAGAGCTGCGCTGGCGGGAGTGGGGCTGGAACTGCCACCTACCCAGAAACCCTGGCCGGGCCCGGGGCCCGGGTGCCACACTCAGCCCTTGGCCCCGATACGGGGAGAGAAGCGTGGCTTTTTTTGTGTCCAGCTCCGGCGGCAGCCCCGAGGCTGGGCTCCGACCCAGAATGGCCCTGCCGGCCAGCCGAGGGCTGCGGCCTGGCCCCTGCCGGCCTCTCCTCCCCAGGCCCAGCTCCTCGGGGAAGGCGCTCAAGGGGTGGCCGCCGCTGGTCCCGCAGTGCCGGGGCCGCGCTCACTGAGTAGTTACGGTGCTCTTGTTTCTCCCACTAACCTGGCCTCCCCGTCGCTAACTCGGCCATGGCCCCGCTTCTTGCAGCCGTGGCTTCCTTGCACTGAACCGTCACCGCTGGGCCGTCGGGAGCAGCCCGCGCGGGCCTAATCCCCCGGCGCCTCCGTGCCCGCGCCTCCGTGCTCTGCGCACTCTGGCCAGTTGGACCGCGCCACCTCCCGAGATCGCGCCGGAACGCTGGGGCCTGGCAGGCGGCTCCGCAGCCCCGCCAGCGCCCACTGCGCCGGCGGATGTGTGGGAGACGGGGCGCCGGCCCCTTCTGCGCTGCCGCCTCCCGCAGCTTAGGCCCAGAGCTGCGTCCTCCGGGATCGGCCTCACCCGCCTCCGACCGGCTGGCTCCTCGAGGAACCCCGCGGAGTGGACGGGCAGCTCCGGCCTCGCGCAGCCGGCGGTGGGAGTGTGTAGGAGAGGGCGGGAGGGGTGTGGGGGTCAGCGGAGGAAATGAGCGAGGCCGCGGAGCTTCGTGTCTGTGGCCTTTGAAAGAGGCTCTCCTGATAGAAACCACAGTTGGGACTTAATGAGAAGCAGTTGGCCTGGCTCCTCTGATCCCAGCCAGAGGCGGCGGTCGCGCAGCGCCGACAGCACCGTCGGGGACAGGTACCCTGCCCAGCTGGGCGCGCGGCGAATGACAGGATCCACCCTGCGGGCCTGCTGCGCGCGCCGGATCCCGCACGGGCCGCCGGGCGCCAGGACCCGCCCGACGCCGAGCAAACGGCGGAGAGCGCTGGAGCAGAAGGAGCGGCGGGAGGAACCGGCGAGGGCGAGGGGGCCAGCAACGAAATACGCGGAAAGAAAACCAGAGAGCGTAAACCACCGAAAAGAGTGAAAAGGAAACCGAACGAAGCGTCGGAGGAGAGAGGCGACGCCGAGAGCCGAGGCGGTCGGCGAGCGGGGCAGAAGGGGAAGGAACAGACGAAAGACGAACGAGGGAAAAAAGCCAGCGCAGATCGAAGGAAGCGGGTAAATGGAGGAGGGCAAGGACGAAGGGAGTCGGAGCAGACACAACGAAAGAAGAAGGGGACACCCTAAAAGAGCAGAAAGTAGCAGAATGATAACGAGTGGGAGAAGACGACGAACGATCCGATCTGCGCAGAGGACAGGCCGAACGGAAAGGGGGCGCCGCGGGGGCGAGCGGACCCCGGAAAGAGGTCTGGCGCCCCCGCGCCCCGGCGCCCCCCCTGGAACTCGGCGGGCGGAGGGGCGCGCGGCCCGCGCGCCTGAGGCGGAGCCCCGCGCTGGGGAGCGACGGCCCCGGGGTGCGGGGCGCGCAGTCTGCGTGTGAAATGTGGCGGGCAAAGGGGGGACCCGCCTTATTTCCCGGCTTTTAAAATAACGGGCTTGAACGTTTCCAGTTCAGACCAGTGAGCTCGCAGCTGCTCCCCATCTGCGGCGCGATCTTGGCCGCGGCCGGGCAGTTGCGCCCCCCGGAGCCTGGCTCACCCGGCTCCTCTCTCGCTCTTGGCGGAGAGCGCCGGGCCCTGGTCTGGACCCCGCTGCATCCAGTCCGTGCCGGCCACCCTCCTGCCCACTGCGCGTGGCTGCTCAGGGCGCCGGAGAGGTGCCCGCCGCGTGCTTCCTACTCTGCGGGGCCTTGCAGTCTGTACGCTCGCTGGGCTCCCTGACCTCCGAACCCGCCGGCTGGCTCGCAGGCCCTGAGCGGGGTTACCTTCAGGGCTGCGCTTCCCCGGGCAGACGGTGGCCTGAGGAGAGTTCCAGCTCATCCGCCCAGGCAGAGACCTCTAGGGCCAGGGGTGTCCAACCCGTGGCCAGCGGGTCACACTCTGCCCAGGATGATTATGAATGTGGCCCACCACAAAATTGTGAATTTACTTAAAACTTTTTTTTTTTTGGCGCATCAGTTTTTGTTAGTGTTTGTGTATTTAATGTGTGGCCCAAGACAACTCTTCTTCCAGTGTGGCCCAGAGACGCCACAAGGTTGGACACCCCGACCGGCCACGGCTGGGAAACTCCAGGGTGAGCACCAGGCCCTGCTGGGGCCCCGCGCGCTGTGCTTGGGCTGCACTGGCCTCGGGTCTGCCGCCCGGGCGGCGGGAGCCCTGGCCTCCGCGAGCACTGACGGTCATCCGGAGGCGGCTCGGGCGCAGCTCAGGTTGGGGCGAAAGCTCAAAGCCGGGTGGTTGGGCCTGTGGACTCAGTGGACGCCATCGTGAGGGGCAGTGGGGCTTGGGGGTGGGGGCGGCCCAGCGTTGTGCGCTTGCCCGGCTACTGCTAGCAGGGGCAGCGGGAGTGCTGTGAGCACAAGAGCCAGGGATGAGCGCCGTGACCCTTCCGAGGTCCTCGTCCAGGCTCCTGACTTTCGTGGTGCTGCGGCTACACGGGCCGGATATCCAGGCCTGGAGCCCCAGGCTTGGAGTCTCCAACATGAGCACGCTCCCTGAACCGCCCAGTGTCCCCACCAGGTGCGGGGGACTCCTACACACTGCCTGACACACCCGGACGGCACCCGGGCCTTGGAGAGCACCCTTCCCCTGAGGAGCCTGGATGCCAACTGCTGGCCCGCTGACCTGCTCCGCCTCCACCTCCACCTCCTTTCCGGGCAGCAGCGCTGCTTGGTGTTCTCTGAGGCACACCCCATCCCCCAAAGAGGGGGAAATGCCACCCTCCCCCCGAGTCCTCCAGGCAGTTGGGGAAGGTCTGGGGTGATGGTGAGGAGAGAGACCCGAGTTGTTCTCTGGTCTCTGAGAGGGCTGCAGAATGGGCAGGCGTGGGGGGCCACCCACAGCCAGCTGGCTTGGCCCTTTTGAGGGTAGTAGCATCTGAGACGTCCTGGTGCACGTTCAGCCCTGATCCTGGGGGGCTGCTGGTCAGGAAGGCAAGTCCTACGGCCCCAGATCTGGCCCCTTCCTCCGGGCAGATCCCTTTGGAGCAGATACTGAGGGCCCAGGAGGCAGAAGAGCAAGCCCCAGAGCTTCGGGGGGCTCTGCAGTGATGTCAGCACTCCCTGGCCCCCGGCCCTGAGCCCCACCCACCCTCCACCCCCGAGTCCAGGGACCTCCTGCTGACTTCTCAGCATCTCAGGGCTGCTGGGTGCGGGGTGCCCCCTTTTGGCCTCCCGGGCTCCCCGATCGCTCCCAACTGCCTGCTTCACCTCACTTCCAGGAGTCCTCCATCCTACGCTCCTACCCCAGAACGACAACAAGAGCCCTGCGTGGCCCAGAGCAGAAGCGGGCGGGAGGTGGTGGCTGGCCCATTTTCTCTGTGGTCCGAGCGTCCCCTGCTGTGAAGGAAACTGGCCCCTGGCCCATCGTTTGCACGCAGCCAGGGGTCAGGCCCGACTGACTCTCCCGGGCCACCAGGACACACAGCAGGGAGCGCCCTTCACCGCCTGGGTGGCCCTGCGAGGTCCCTGCCCCCTACCCACCCTGCCAAGGGACACCTGCACCACCTGCCCTCCACAGCGCAGACAGGGGCTGGTGGGACCCGGAAGCCCGCCCTCCAGCCCCACCCTCCCCACCACAGCTGCCATCCTGACACCAGGCCCCGGGGAAGGAGCTGCGGTCTGGTGCCAGCTCGCTGGGCCTCCTGGGGGCCGGCCCGGGGCTAGGGAAGGGGCCCTGTGAGTCAGTGGGGCGTCTTCGTGGCGTCTCCCGTCATCCCGGCAGGCAGACTGCTGCGTGGAGATTTCACGGTGAGGCTGTGGGGGGTCCTCGCCAGAGGGGGAGAGCGTGGCCGTTGGGGCAGGACTTCGCCAGCTTCGGAATGCAGGGCTAGGCCCCTGGAGTGGGGCTCCTGGGGGCTGTCCCGGTCCGCAGACAGGGCCCCTGCTTGTGAGCAGCTCCGGAGGAGGGCGGGACAACCAATGATGGGGTCGGGAGCTGAGCCCCGTCCCCACACCGACCCTCCTTCTCTGAGCACGGCTTAGCTCCTGTCTATTGCTGGAGCTTCGGCCGTTGCCCGAACACCACAGCTGCGGGAGGAATGAGACGATCCCTCTGGAAGCTTCTTTGCCCCATCTTGCCCTTCACACCCCAGGGCTGGGGGTCTTCACTCAGCCCTGAGATGTGGGGTCCAGGGAAGGCGGTGCCGCCGAACCGGCCAGGCTGTCTGAGCATCCCTGCCGGCATCTGTGTCGCGGGCGCGAGGACGTGGGAACCAAGGCCTGCGGCGACGGGGACACGGAGGTCCTCTGGGCGGGGGGGGGGGGGGCAGGGACATGTCAGCCGCCCCATCCTCACTCCCTCCGCCCGCCCGGGCGCTAGGCCGTGCCGTGGCGCCATCCTGGCACCGCCACACCCCGTGGGACGCGCCCCCGCAGAGTGCTTCCCCGAAATGGACCTCCCTGGGCCCCAGCAGACCCGCCCAGAACACAGACAGCATGGCTCCCCGGGGCCCCCTCCCCAGCTGGAGGCTCCGCAGGAAGGCCGCCCGATGCCAGGCTCCATGGAGGGTGGCTGCCGAGGGAGGGGAGAGAAGGGAAGGGGGAGGCGGGGACTGAAGCGTCAACAGTCTTCCCCTCCCTCCATTCCACCCACAAAACCCCTGGTTCGGTTTCCATCCTCCTTTTCGTGTTTCCATTGCAGCTGAGGAGAAGGCCTCCAAAGCCGCCAGCTTCCCCCAGCTGCCCTTGGACTGCCGCGGGGGCCCCAGAGACGGGCCCTCTACCATGCAAGGCTCCCCAGGCCCTTGCCTGGCCGGCCTGCGCGTCCCTCTGTCCCCAGGACTCCCCGACTCCATGGAGTTGGCCAAGAACAAGAGCAAGAAGCGCCGCAACCGCACGACCTTCAGCACCTTCCAGCTGGAGGAGCTGGAGAAAGTCTTCCAGAAAACCCACTACCCTGACGTGTACGCCCGGGAGCAGCTGGCTCTGCGCACGGACCTCACCGAGGCCCGAGTACAGGTGAGGGCGCCCTGGGCCCTCAGCTGCCTCGACCACCCGGACGGCGGGCCAGGCCCCCCCGGGGGCTGGGCTCGCCCCCCACACCCAGCTCTGCTGGGGCCACGGGCTGGCGGTCCGAGTGTGGGCTCAGGCCTGCGTGTGGGGCCGGTGGCCTCCGGGAGTCCGAGACCCGGGTGGCAGCCCCGTCTCCACTGCGTGCTCCATGACCAGGTGACGTGGGGCCTGCCCGTGACTGTCTCGGTCTCCGCCCCCAGTCTAGGAGAGGGTGATGGGGCTGCCTGCTCAGGGGGCAGCCTTGAGGAGTCGGCCAGGCAGTGTTCTGGAAGCAGAGGAACGAGGAGGACCTATCGGGGCTGCTCCAGAGGTGGCTGCCCAGAATGGGGGGCCCCGCTGGGGGGTCTCGGGCTCAGTGGTACTCAAAGCCATCCCGCACCTGTGACCTCCAGTCCCACCGACACTCAGACCCTGGCCGGGGGCCCCACCCCACCCAGCCAAACTCGCCCCACAGGGATGCGGGCCCAGGCTTCTGGATGGGCCGGGGCCAGCTTCACAAAGGGTGGGGCCCAGCTGCGGGGGTGCAGGTGGCGGACTGACAGGCGCTGGGAACGGGGGAGAGGGAGGAAGGAAGTCCCTGTCTAGGCCATTTTGGAGGAGAGGAAGAACCCGAAGGTGGCCAGCAGGGGGTGGGGCTGGGAGGCTCAGGCAGGGTCTGGCCCAAGGGCAAGGTGGTGGTTGCTGCCCTTGCACGCTGCACCACAGGCTCCCTGGGTGGGAGGCCCCAGGGAGGCGTGGGTGTGGGCTTCTGGGGAAGGCAAGGGGACAGCCTCCAGGCAGGAGACCTGGCTGTCACCCCCCAGTCGGGCTCCCCCAGGGTCTGTGGAGGCACCGGGGCCGGCGGCTCCGGCAGACTGTGGGGACCATCGGGCCAGCCACGTCCAGCAGAGAGCGCTCTACAGCTGGACTCCGCGTAAGACCAGAGGACCTGGGGCCACGTCCCCTTCTCTGCCGAGTCCTCCTGCTCCCATGTCCCCCCCAAAACAGGTGCCTGGGGCTGCCCACCAGTGCTCCGCTGGGCCTGCAGCCATCAGAGTAACATGACCAACCCCAGGTGACATAAGCTGCAGAAGGCCAGAACACCCCATCCCCGGAGGCCTTGGCAGGCCGCTGGGCTGCGGTCTGACCAGCTACCCCTATGGGACTGCCCTGGACACGGGCCCCAGTCCTCTCCTCGGCCTTCCAGCCCTGGAGGGGTGTAGGCAGAGCCACGAGGCCCCAGACCCAGTGCAGAAGCTTCCCGGTGATTGAGGCTGCAGAGTAGGGATACTGTCTCCAACAGGAGCGGGACAGCCACCCACAGGCCCCGCTGTGCAGAGGATAATGAGGCCACGTATGGGACAATACAGAGCAAAGGCCCAGAGCACAGGTGGAGGCCTGCGGTGGGGGGTCCAGGGAGAGCAGGTGGTGAGAGGGAAGAATTCCCAGGCAAGCGATCCGCCTCACTGGCCCCAGGTGCCCTCAGAGGCCTGCAGGGGAGGGAAAGTCAGGAAAGGACGGCCGAGTGGACAGGTGCCGGGCAGGTGAGGCGCCCGGCCCCCGGGCTTGCCCCGGCCCGCTGCAGGATCTCTGCAACCAGGGTCGGGGGAAGGCTGTGCCTGGCTCCCGAACTCAGGGCCTGACCTGCCTGCCTGGGTAGGATGACGGTGGAGGAGTGTGAGGGGCTGCGCTGGGGTTACTTTTGCACATGGGCGTGCGTGCACACTCAAACACACAGGGCTGCTTCTAATGCAGCCTTGGAGGCTACCAGCCAGCACGTAAGTTCGTGAAATGATAGTGCAAACGCTGATACACATACATGTAGCAGTCCTCGGGCACATGCCCAAGGACAGATTCATCACAGACACGCACACAGAGGCACACAGCACACCACACGCCACCCGGGCTGCCAGGAGCTCGCAGACGAAGGGCAGACACAGACTCCAACACGGACAGTGGCCACAGGGTGTGGTCTGAGACACGTCGGGGACAGGGGACGGTGCCCAGCTCAGAGGAACGGGCTCGGGGAGGGTGGGCGTGGGCAGCGCAGGCAGGGACAGCCCGACAGAGGCAGGGACAAGCAAGGGGCAGAGTGTTTCAAAGGCCGGCCGGGCTGGAGGCAGCGGGGCAGTGCTGAGCGCGGCAGCCTGGCGGGGGAGGAGGCTGTGGAGCGGGCAGGGCCTGGTGCAAGGGCCGGGCTCCGGGCTGAGCTCCCCGGGAAGCTAGCAGGGCTCCAAGCAGGGCTAGGGCCTGCACAGAAATACTTTTAACATTCCTCGGATGCCAGGAGGTGGGGGGACTGGAAAAGGAGAGGCGGCTGGTGGCTAGAACCCCAATATATGTGTGCCAGCACCTCAGAACCCCAGGCCACGGAGCACCACGACACCCTTAGCAGACACAGGCTGGAGAACCAGAGTGACTCAGCCTGGAGACTGGAGGGGGTAGTGGGGGGCGCTCTCCCAGGCTCCCCTGGCTCTGAAAACCATGTGGACTGACAAGTTCCTGCCACTCAAGACCCACCTCCGGGAGCCAGCTCCCCACCCTGTGCTCCACGAGCACCAGCTCTCTCCCCAGCCCGCTGTACTCCCCCAGCTGCTCTGTCACCCCTCACCTTCTACCCCCGCCCCCAGGTCTGGTTCCAGAACCGCAGAGCCAAGTGGCGGAAGCGGGAGCGTTATGGGAAGGTCCAGGAGGGGCGGAACCCCTTTACGTCTGCCTATGACATCTCTGCGCTGCCCCGAACAGACAGCCACCCCCAGGTGAGACCCCTCCACGCCCCCAGTCTGGGCTTGACTGCATCCCAGGGGTAGCCAGCAAGAGTGTGAGCTCTGGCCCTGGGGAGCCCCGGAGTGCCTCTGTCCTGTGCAGCCGACTGTGGGCAAATCTCTTCCCCCTCTGCCCAGTGGGCCGGTCTCCCGGTGATGCCTGCAGGGCAGCTGGCACACAGGGATCGTGGGAAGAACCCCATCCTGAGATGCGGCGGGAGGGGCCTCCTGTGAGCACTGGGGGCAGGAGGGTGGCAGATTCTAGACCTGGGCCGAGTGGAGGCCTCTCGGGAAAGTGTTGGGAGCCCCAAGGGCAAAGTGAGCCCCTAGTTAGGGAGGCAGCCCCCGGGGCTACCGATTCACGGGCCTGCTTTGTCTCTCTTCTCAGCTGCAGAGCGCCCTGTGGCCCGGTCCGGGGTCCGGGAGCCCGGCCGGGCCCTGCCTCGTGTCTCCGGAGGGCATCCCCACCCCATGCATGTCCCCGTACTCCCACTCGCACGGGAACGTGGCCGGCTTCGTGGGGGTGCCAGCCTCCCCCGGAGCCCACCCCGGCATCTACTCCCTCCACAGCTTTTCCCCTGCCCTGGGGGACCACAGCTTTGAGCCCTCCCCGGACGCTGACTACAAGTCCCCCAGCCTCGTCTCGCTCAGGGTGAAGCCCAAGGAGCCACCCAGCCTGCTGAACTGGACCACGTGATGATGTGTGTGGGCACGCAGACTCAGCTGCCACCCCCGTCCTGCTCCTGGCTGCTCCCGCCCACCCTGGACCGGACGCCAGAGAGAATGCACCTCGGCCTCCCGCCCCCAGTGGCTCCCAGAGGCGGGCGGAGCAGCTGGGACCCTCGCCTCCTGCCGAGTCTCTGCTCTCAGAATAAGGCGGGGCTGCCCAGGGGGAGAGGGGGCTTCTCTTCCCCCCACACACTAGGTCCCCTCATCCAAACGCTGGGCTGGAGAGAGCTGCCGCCCTGCTTCCTTCTGACCCCATCCAAGGCCCACGGTTATCCCTCCCGCTGATGTAGCTTCGTGGGCTCCTCACTCTGGGACGCAGGAGAACGGGAGGACGACGCAGGTTGAGCCAGGAGTTGTTCTTGTGACTCAGGGGAAACCGGAACCTTTGGAGGTTTCCCTACGGGGCCTCACTCCCTCCTCCCACCACCAGAGGGCGCTCACCAGGGCCTGAAGCTGGAGGTCAAAGGCACCAGGCCTCCCCTTACTTCTCCCCTGTACCCGCCCCGCCCACCCCCCCACACACTGTGGAGTCCTCTCCACCCCGAGGGGGAGGGGGCAGGAATTCCACCAGAAACCACCAAATATTTGGATTCTCCTCCGTGGGACCAGGCCAGAGGTATGCCATGGGAACCCTGGACTCGCTTGGTTTACTCACTGGGCGTTGGTAAGCATAAAACAGATTCCCAGCCTCTGAGCCCGAGATCCCAACCCCCCCTTTTGTAAAAATGCTTCTGTAAAAAAAAAAAAGTGTGCTGCCCAGCATAACAATAAAGGTGGCGGATCTTCAGGGTTTGCCCTCGGGCTGGTCTGCGCTCAGGGTGGTCAGGCCATGGGGGGGTGGCTGCAGGGACCCCTGGGGCCCGGGGAGGGTGGGCCTGCAGCAAAGCCCTTGAGGCCGGTGCATGCCCTGCCCCGGGTCCCTGGGGCTTCGGCAGGCACGGAAGGCAGGGAGAAGGGCCTGGCTCTGGGGCGGCTGGGCTCCCGAGGAAATGCGGGGTGGGGAGGGCAGTGGAACGGGAGGCCGGGCAGCCCGCGGAGGGCTCTGAGCTCCCAGCCGTGGGGGCGGGGCAGATTCCGGCCCCCAGAGGCCCCAGGAGTGTGTCTGAGCCGTGGGGCAGAGACGAAAGCCAGGACTCTTCCCTGCGGTTTCAGAGGATCACCCATCCTATCCTTCATCCCCGCTTTCTGCCTTATCTCCGCAGCCCGGGAGGCAGGGGAAAAGCCGTCCCGGCCTCCCACCCTCCCGGGGGTGTGAATAGCACACCACCACAAGCGCAGCTCAGACCTCGGCCTCTGAGGCTGCCCCGCCACCCCCAGGCACAGGGAAGGCCCAGCAGGCAGACACCAGCACTGGGCTTACTCCCAGAGCGTCACGGCCCCGTCAGATGCGCCTTCCCTCCGGCCCGTCCCTGTGACCGGGCTCACTGTGCCCGAGGAAACCTGTCCTCCTCTTCCCACCCGGTCACTGCCTGGCTCCTGGGCACTTCTCGCCCGGCAGTGCTGCTGCTGGCCGAGCTGCGGCCGAGCCCGGTCTGTAGGAAGGGAAGAGGCCGGGCGGGCGGGAGAGGTGCCCAGCCGCCTCTGGCCCGCTTGTCGGTGATGGCCCGGGGCTAAGACCGCTGCACCAGGTCTTCCCAATTCCGAGAGCAGACAGCGGAGTTCTGGACTTCCTGCCCACCCCCACCCCCAGATCGGGAGAGGTACAGGGACAGCAGCTTGTTCTACGAATGCGCCCACTCTGCTACAGAGAAGGGGCCGTGCTCTGCACGGCTCAGAAAAAGACGGAGAGGGGAGAAGGACATAGCAAAGAGAGCAGAAGCAGGGAAGAGACAGATAAGAAAGGAAAGCCGGGAGACTGCGGCAGCCGGAGCGGGAGAGGCGGGCAGGGGCCAGGCGGGGCCCGCGGGGGAGGGCACCAGCAGGCTGCTGGCTCCCATCCAGGGGCATCTACCCACAGCTCATATTTTTCTGCCCAGTGACAGCTAAATGAAGGGAAAGCTAACTTTACAACCGCCTGCTTCGCACATAATGAATATGAATGGGCATCCCGGAGCCTGTTCCCTGGGATTATCTGTGTGCTGACGGCTCCCCCACTGCCTGGGCCATCCCGGCCGGCCTGTCCCCTGGTGGGGACCCGGGCAGCCCTTCCACCTGCTTCCCATTAGCCCCCCCTCCCTCCCCCTCCTCCACACTCCAGGCATCTCACCACTAAGGCGCAGCCCCCAGCCTCACTCCAGAGGTGACCTCGGCCCTCGGCCCAGGCCCCACGCTTCCCCGAGGCCAGGCTGCAGCTCTGGTCAGCCCTTCTGGACAAGGAGAGGGGAAGTGGCCTCTCCTGGAATCCCAACCTGAGAGTCGCTGGCCTTTGCTAAAGCCCCTCCCTGCCCCAGTGAGGCCACCCAGGGAGGCCTAGGTCTTGGTCCCAGCGAGGGGCCCAGACCCCAGGCCCAGCGTGGAGGGCCCGAGGCGGCAGGCCCTTCAGTCCAGGCTTTGGGTCTCAGCCCGGCACCGGGAGATGTTTCTCATTAGAGGGACTCGATCTCCCTTTCTGCCTCCCCCAGCCGCTCACACAGCGACCTGAGTGGCAGTCCCGCTGAGCCACACTGCCTGCTAAGGCCCCGGACCAGAGCAGGCCCAGTGCCACAGGGCCCTGGGCACCAGGGGGACACTGGCCACGGAGCGTCTGCTCTGGGGCCCTGTTCCTGACGCTGGGGTGCCGCCCACCTAGGCTATTTTCCAGCGGGAGCTGGGGCCAGTGGGACCCGTGGGACCCGTGTGGCCCTGCAGTGTGTGTGCCACATCTTCGCTCCGACTTGCTGTTGTGGCCATCTGTCGACCGCGAGCTCACAAGGGCACCCAGAACGGGGAAGGGGCCTTCGAGGCATGAGGGCAGGGCTGCCGGGTCAGTGGCTGCCCCTTCTGAGAGACTCCTGAATTCACAGCAGAGCGCTAAGGACCAGGGATCTAAGAAGGCCTAAGACGTGCTTCTGGTCCCCGGCGGGGGGGAGGGGTTCTGTCTTCCCAGGGGACACAGGGAATGAGTGCAAACGCACAGGTGGTCAGAGCTGGGAGGGCCCCTAGCAGTGCTGAGGGCAGCTGCCGTCTGTTGATCAGCTGCGTAGCTCCTCGCCAGCCAGGAGCGCAGGCCCGTTATCCCTCCCTCGGGCCCCTCACGACCGTGCTGCCGTTAAACCGGCTTTACCGAGGAGTCAGCAGGCGGAACCTGACGAGCTCAAGTCCCTGCAGCGACCGAGGCTGACAGTGCCCAGCACCAAACAGTGGCATGGCCGCCGCTTCTCTGGGACGCCTGTTCGTTAGGGGACGGCCGGGAAGCCGGCCTCCAGGGAGATGGACCTCACAGGTAGGGCAGAGGCCGCCACGCACGCAGGAGCGCGTGGGACCTGGGGGGGGGCGGGCGGAGAGGACGTGCCGGCCGGGACAGTGAAGAGGAAAAGGTGGCGGCGACAGCCCCCGAGTTACCTCGCAGGGGCGTGCCTCTGGACGCACCAGAGGCCATGCCAAGGCCAGGCTGGGGCAGCCAGTGAGGGCCTACCTCAACGGGCACTTGCCAAGACCCTCTCCAGGGACCGCACCCGAGCAAGTGTGGGGGAGCGAAAGGGGAGATGTGAGCAAACACGCGCTCAGGTGGCGAGCGCTGGGCAGTGGCACGGGCTGTTAGAAGGGAAAGTGGGGGTGGGGCGGGGGTGGGGGGGTCCGGGACGCACATGCACTGCAGGCAGAGACCTGCGTCTGCACCCGGCCCGGCTCTCGTTACGCTGCCACCTCGGGCAGGCCCTTCGCCCTTCCTGTGCCAGTTCCTCGTCTGCAGGGCAGGCCCTGCAGTGACACCGCCTTCCAGGGCTACGCCCAACAGGGAGACTCAGCGCGCACAGCGCTCCCAGCAGCGGCTGCCAGCTGCTGGCTGCCGCGTGGACGATGGGCTCGGGAAGCACCGATACGGGCCCTGAGCCTCCGTGACACCCAGCGCATGGCAAGTGTTGACTAACCAGGAAGGTCCCGTCCTCAAAGCGATGGAAAGAGCACTGGGCCCCGAGCCCGGTAGCAACACTGAGTTTTATGTATCTCAGCCCTTTGCGAGGGGTCACGGAGGGCCCTGCCCAGCCCGTGACCCACACGGGTCACAAAGCCGCAGAGATCGGTGGTCACTGGGTCCACAGGGCCAACCTGCCGCAGGCACCCTCTGGCTGTGCTAGGGCTCACGCCCTGCCGGGAGGGTCACGCCCAGCAGGGTCACGCCCAGACCCTACCTGGCTCTGCGGCCCCTGCGGCTCCCGGTCCGTGTTCCTGTCTGCACAGACTAAGGCAGGTGTCTGGTGCTCACAGACCCCTGCACGCCACGAGGGAAAACGGCCCCTCTGGTGAAGGGAAGCTTCGGGGGGCTGGGGAAATCGGAGGCACAGAGCCCAGACTGCCGGTGGGTAAGAATGAGCAACTCCCTCTCACCCAAACCGACCCCTCACGGCGCCAGCTTCCCGGAGGCCTTGGTGAAAGCCAGCAGAAAGCCCGCCACGCACACACCAGTTGTGTCAAATCCCCACGTCCTATGCGAGCTTCGTTGGGGCAAAACATCAGTCACCCCAGGGGGCGTCCACCTCAGAGGCTGCGTGACTTACGTCAGGAGTGCGCTTGCTGGCTGCCGCCCCGCGGGCACATCAGGGCCTGGGCTCCGTAGGACCCGGGCAGGACAGGTTCTTCTGAACCTGAGCTTCCGCTCAGGCCCAACCGTCTGCCCCAGCGAGGGCCCAGAGCCCCTGACCCCCGACCAGCCCTCCCCTCCAACGCTGAGATCGGCGCGGCCGAGGGCAGCTCAGGAGTGCGACCCGGAGGAGCCCGGGGCTCCCGCCACGGTGCTGTCAAACTCAGGGGTGCAGGACCACGTGCCGTTCCAGCAGCCCGAGGCCTGGAGCTGCGGCAACTCCGGCTGACCGGGGGAGGGGACACTTCGGAGGGGTGCCCGCCCCCGCCCGGAAGGAAAGGGCAGGCAGCTGGGTAGAAGACAAGTGGGGGGCCTACCGATGCGGGCAAGAAAACCCCCTTTCTGGACCTGGAGGAGACACACAGGAGCCTGTGTTCTGCAGACAAGGCCACCGGGATTGTTTTTGCTTCCTTTTAATGTAAACAGAGTACACAAACACGTTAAAAACCCCGAGACGGCACGAGCGCGCACACACAGACTCACGCACAGGTATTCACGGGCCGTGCACACCAGGGGACACGCGGCACCACTGGGGAGGGGACCTCCTCTGCCCACCCCAGCCCCGTCCGGAACCGGAGCGCCCGAGAGCCGCAGGAGCCCCGCTCCTGCTTCGGGGGGACAGCCAGCGGGAGGCTGGGACGGCACCACGAACCCCAAGGCAGGACCAGGACTCCGACTCCCTGGCCCTGACCCTCAGCCCTCCTCCTTGGCAAGCTGACCTGCCGAGGATTTGCACGTCTCAAGAATAGTCGGCATGACCCCCGAAATTTGGATGTAATGGGTTCCCAGCCCATCCCAGCTTTTCCCAGCCTTGGGCTGAATGAGAAATAAGCTGTAACCAACCATGTCCGAGGGAGGGGGTGGGGGGAGGGAAGAGAGAGGGTGCCAAGCAGAGACGGCTGCTCCCAGGAGGCTGGGCATCAACCAGAGGCCTGGCTAATGCTGTCAGGGGAGGGCGCGGTGGGGCTGTGCTGCCACCTGGAGGCGGACGGGCACACTGCAGTGACCAGCGCTGGGCCCTGGGCACCTGGACGTCACCTCTTTCCTCTTCAGTCCCCTAACCAGGAGGCTCACTGCAGCAGCTCCTCCCAGGAGATAGGCTTGGAGAAGACCTCCCTTTCCAGCCAGAGGTCGTAGTTCATCTGGAAATCCTCAGGGAGGTCCACCCGCTGGCCCAGGACGCTCTGCAGGCAGTTGTCCACAGGCAGGAAGTCGGGGTTGCTGTGGGCCCGGTCGTAGCGCCGGGCGTTGAAGCGTTCGATGTTGGCGCGGAGGGCACACTCCTCCGCCTGGAAGTCCCACGGCCGGGCGTCCAGATCTGGGCAGAGCAGGAAGGGAGGTCAGAGCCAGGCCCGCGGGGCAGCGCCCCTGCGATGCTGATCGTCAGCCTCCAGGCCCTGTCCGTCCTCGGGGATGCCAACGGGACTTCTCCCCTAGAGGGCACACGCCAGGGAGGGTCGGGTGAACGGAGGAAGCCAGCTCTGAGGAGCAGGGGCCACCTGCCATCCGCGTGGACGCAGCGAGGACAGACCCAAACCTTCCTCTGAAAGCCACCTTCTCCCTGGCACTCCTCGGCCAGGGGAGGAGCCTGCAGGTCCCCTCCTGAGCCCTTCTCTCCATTCCCTGCCCAGGCACAAACACACAGGGCTCTGGGAATGCAGTCACATGGCCACCGGGGAGAACGCACTCTGCCCAGGAGGCTGAGGCGGCTGCCCAGAGGGGAGGAGACACAGCACACACAGACACGGGACAGACGGGGGGCCCGGGGGAGGCACCTGCTGGGGGAGGGAACAGGAGCGGGGACAGCACAGGCTGACGTGCACGGGCTGAGTGCTGTGTGTGCCCAGAGCCCTGGGCGGGACAGAAGCTGGGCCCGGCCATGGAGGACAGGGAGGGATGGGGTGTGGGCCTCAGCTCAGGTGGTGTGCTTGGGCGCTCGGCTCTAACTCTGAGGGCCACCAGAGGGTGAAGAAGGCCCTGACTAGGGCGGTGCCACCACAGATGCACTTTGGAAAGATCCCTGCAGCACAGTTCCGGGCACTGATGGAGGGCAAGGCCCTGGAGGCGAGAAAGGATCTGTGGCCAGAACCGAGGCAGTTGCAGGGGGAGGGAAGAGACGAGAGCGCCTTGTGACGGCTTCTGGAAAAGGAATGGCTTCCAGGGAGGCGCAGAGGAACGGGGGCTGACCAGACCCTCCAAGTCCTTCCTAGCAGTCCATGCGGCCCCTCAGAGGGCACGGGGCAGAGCGGGAAGGCACCCGCGCCCCGCCCCCTGCCTGCCCCCGCCGCCCCCGGTGCAGGGCCTCACCGTTGCCATAGGCCCAGTCGTCGTTCAGCCGGTGCCGGACCTTCTGGTAGATGGCAGACATGGTCTTCATGTTGCTCTTGCGCCACTGCCGCCCCAGGTACTTGGTCTGCACCTTGAGCAGCTTCAGCACGTACAGCTGCATCATGGCCTGCTTCACCTTCAGCGCCCGCTTCAGGATGGGGGCGGACTTGAACACCACCAGCATCTGCGAGGGGCACGGGCCGGCCCAGTGGAGAGCGGCACGGATGCCTGCGTCAGCACCCGGCCGCTCACTCCCTCTGGGGTCACGGCAGGAGGGCCAACGTCCCAGTCCTCCGCAGACAGAGGTATTTCCTGGGACGTCGGACTTCCGCTGCTAAAACCACCAGAGTCCTAGGCAAACCAGGGCCGCTGGCCACCCTCATTATGAGTCTTTCTGGAATATGAAGAAAGCTACAAATTCCTTCAGAAGTACTGCTATATGCACGGACCTACAATATCAGAGGCTTCATGGACCTACCACCCCAAGGCACCCACACACTCAGGGTTAAGGGAAACCCCCAGAACCCTGGTCAGGCAGAAACCCCTCTGCAAGTGTGAATGATTCCATGCACGACTGAGCTCCAGCCTCCAGCTCATCTCATCAGCAAGCAAGGAATCAGACCTTAAAATGCAAGGATGTGGCTGCAGGGCAGTTAGGAGGGGAGGAGGAAGCCATAGCAGCAAGCCCACCCTGGGGACCCCTGCTCCCCTGTGCAAGGGACGGTACAGGGTGTAGCTAGCACTCAGCTGGGAGCTCCAGGTTCCGGGCCTGCCGCCCGCGCTGACTCACCATCGTCCTGGAATGCTTCCACTTGGTCAGCTTGTTCAAGATCCGAAGAAGATTGATACAGGAGAAGAGGTTCCTCCAGCAAAACTGGTTATTGTCACCTGCTTCCTGCAGGGCAAACCCAGGTGCAACCGTGACGCCCACAGCGGCGGGGGCTCGGCAGCCTCCAGGGCCCTCGTGCACATGATCTCCCAACTGCGGGCCTCTCTGGCCTGTACCAGGAATGCACTCCTCTCCTCAGCCCAGGGGAACTCCACCCCAGAAGCTGGCAGGGGGTGGTGGGGAGCTCCCTAAAATTTTCCTGCAGGAAACAGCATGACAGAGGGGGGTAGGGCCTCGGCCCCCACAAGCTGGGACATCAGGCTCCCCCAGAGCTGTGGACCCAGAGCTGCAGTGCGGGGAGAAAGAAGCAGCTCGGCCCGGTGACCCGCTCCCGAGACAAACTGACCCCCACATCCACATCGTTGTGCCCTTGCACGCATGCAGTGCTGTAAGGGCCAGCCAGACACTTGCCAGTGACCTCGCCTACCCCAGTGTGGGGGAGGCCGGCTCCCAGCCACTGACCCGCACACGGAAGGGACACTGGGGAGGAGCCTCGCCACTCACCAGACTCTCGGCAGTCAGCTCCGGGAGCTCGTGCACCACGCAGTGGGGGTAGTCCAGGACAGAGATGCTGCGGGGGCAGGAGGGGGCCGGCGCCCGCTGTGAGCCATGGCCGGGGTCTGGGCAGCCGCTGTGAGCGGGCTGGCCCCGGGCTCTCCCCCTCACTTGCTGGGACAGAAGGGGGACTCTACCCTGTCGGTACTGCCCTGGTTCCCCCAGCTAAATACCTGCTCCAAGGGGACTTCTAAGGCCCCTCAGGCCAGAGACCAGCTCGTAATCTCACAAGGGATGGAGACCCTGCCTTCCTAGCAGCAACGAATGTGGGACCTGGGGGCTGGGGGACGGGCAGGAGGTGGGGGGGACGTCTCAAGGCACTGAATTTAGGCCAAGCCCCTGCGGGAGACAGTGTCTGGCTGACAGCTCACCCTACGACGCACCGCACTGACATGCAGGCACTGTCGAGTACAGCCGGCACCCAGAGAGAGGGGTGGGGGTTCGAGTCAGCAGACAGGGCCTGGCAGTGCACTCGGCCAGCTGAGCTCCCAGAGAGAACGGGCAGCCTGGCCGGCCTCCTCGAAACAGAAGAGCACAAAAGGGCAGCGAGGGCAGCCCTGGAGCCCAGGACGGGCCCCTTCCCACCCAGGCACAGACTGAATCACCGGTCCCCAGACTAGCTGGGGAGCTGGACTCGGATTTCACGGGGAGGAGCCGTGTCTCACGCTTCTTTGCGCCCTGAAACCCAGAGAGCGCTGGCTTGTGGGTGCCGAGTGGGCTCAGTGGGAGGGGCCTGTGGGGAGCCCTGCCGACTGGCCATGCTCACCCCTCCCGATCCCTGGGCCCTGTCACCTGTTCTTGGCAGTGATGTAGGACATGATGTTTTGATTGAAGAACTTTAGAATCAAAGGGATGCAGTTGGCGAACACCAGGTGCTGGGCCATGTATTCAAACTGAAACCAACAGGAAAAAAGTAAGCATGGCCCTTAGGACCTCACTGTCCTTCCTCCAGTGACAAAGGCCTTGCTTGGAAGCCTGAGTCTTAGAGCATTCACACAGAGCTCAAGGGTGCCCACTCTTCGGGGCTGGAGGAGCAGCACCGCCCAGGGCCCTGGCCCAGAGGACAGGAACAAGGCAGGCCTTACAGGTACCTGGTAGACGTGGTTCAGCTTAAAGTGCTTCAGCAGCAGCAGCAGGACAGCAGAGATGGCCTTAACAATGACCTCTTTGTGGCGGTTCACGTCCACGCCCAGCTTCATGCTCTGCAGCACTGTGGTGCTGGAGGCACAGGCAGCAGGTGAGCCTGCGGAGGGGCAGCGCCCCCACCCACCTCCGGCCCTGCCCCCGTCCCCAGCTCGGAGCGCCGTTCTTCCTCCTTGGGGCGCCCCAGTCACGCTTCTGGCCTATTTCTCTGCTTTTCCTCCAGCACTCCAGCAAGGAACCTCTTTTTCAAGGTCTGCCCTAAGCTTCTGCCACCGTAGAAGCTGTCTTCCTCCAGTGTGTTTCGTGAAATAGCTCCACGCTGAGATATTTCGTGTTATGGGGAGACAGGTTCTGGGGTCAGATAAACTTACGAAGCTTCTAAAACTTATTTTTCAATTATACTTGATATACAGTAGTATATTAGTTTTAGGTGTGTGACATAGTGATTAGACACTTAAATCAGTTTCTGAATTCAGGATTCAGGACTTCTCACTGTCTCTGGCACCCCCGGCCCAAGGGCCATCACGATGGCCCAGTGTTCTGTGCCACCCCCTTCGGTACTAGCCAAGTCCCACCTCCTCCCCCACCTGGCTCTCACACCACACACTAGGGGCCCAGCCGCCAGGGAGCCAGCCGTCTCGGCAGCCCAGCAGGGCACCAGGTCAAGGCCGGGAGAACACGCTCTGGGCTTGTGCTCGCACATCAGAGGTGCAGTCTGTGGCCCAGGGAAGAGCCCCTGAGGATTCCACCATCGCCCTGAGATTCACAAATGCCCTGCGCACCAGCCCACTGGGGAGCAGGAGGGAACCGCTACCCAGCTGAGGTCCAGCTACTGGCTGGCAAGTCATCCAGACGCTGACCCCACTCGCCCGGGATGTCCCAGTCTCACAGCCTTCGAGGGAGGGTCTCGGGACTGTCGGACACAGCCTGATTCACTCTGCAGAGGAGAAACTGCCTCTCCCCAGCACCACCAGGCCTTCGCCTAGTCGCCGAGTCCACGCTCGAGTCCAGGCCAGCTGGACTAGGCCTTCTCCCCAACCAGCAGAACTAAGTATTTAATTCGGTACTTATTTTTTCTGCTGAGCCAGGAACACCCTCAACCTAACCTGCAGAGAAGTTGAGCCCAGAAAAGGAGATAACTAGCAAACACTGGGACCGATCACAAATACCTCCCTGCTCTGCTGCCCCGACCTGCACCCTTCACGGCACCACGGCACTCACGGCATCTCCTCGGGCAGGACGTCCGCCAGGATGTTGATCGAGTCTGTTTTGGCCTTTGAGGTGGGAGCTGCGGCCAGCAGGATCTTCAGCAGCGCGATCTGGGGAGGAGGAGACCCTGAGACAGCCTGCCCCAGAGTGCCTGGGTGCAGGATGAAGCAAGCGGGCGGGCGGTCCTCCTGGAGAGGCTCAGGCAGCTCGGGGAGGGGCCGAAGGACGCACTCCCAAGTCCTGTGTGGCGGGGAGGGCGATCCCACGGCAGGCGCCCACTGCTGGCCCCCGAGGGGCCCAGGGCCAGGGCCCCCTGGAGAGGCACTCACCATGTACTGAGGCAGGCTGGGGAGCAGGCCTTGGTACAGGGTTTCTGCGGGGACTTGCTCGACTTCCTCTTCTCCCTTGCAACACAGTGGGACACATACAAACCCCAGTCCAACCACGGTCTCCCGAGCCAGCTTACTGGCTGGCTGGGGGGGGATCTGTAAGTGTCACTGTCAGTAACAATGCTGGTGGTGACAGCGGGACCTGCCAGGCACTCGCTACCACTCCACTAGTCCTCACTAGCGCTCTGTGAGGAAGGCACTGTTATTATGCCCACTTTACAGGTGAGGACACTGGAGCACAGGGAGACCCGCCTTCTGCTGGGCTGTCACCCACTGAATAGCAGAGCCGGGACTCAGAGGCAGTGGCTGGCTCGGAGTCTGCATTCTCAACCCCTGCACTACACACAGGTCACCCCGACCCCCACCCCCCGGCCACAGGAGTGAGACCGGGCGGGGGCTTTCTGAGGGCAGGGGCCAAGGCAGCTTCGAGGGCTGGGCTCAGCACAGAGCCTGGGAAGGCTGGGGACCCTGCTGGCGGAGGAAGGCTCCCGACTTACCCCCGAGAGAGGAGAGCGCAGGTACTCCTCCTCCATCTGCGCCTGGACCTCCGCGATCGACGTGTACTTGTGCTGGGGGGAGGGGAGAAGGCACTGCGGGCTGCGTCTCAGGCCGGGCTGGCCGCCCACACACTGGCCCAGGGCCCACCCCACCTTCCTCCAACTCAGTCTTCCCCAAGAGGGCTACAGCTCCACCACGATCCCTCACTACCGTCCGAAACCCAAACCATCTTCCTAAGTGAACACTTGCCTTTAAAACCAGTGCAAAAGCACACAAAAGATGAGAAAAAAGCGAATTAAAGGAGAGAAAGGGACTTTCAGGTGCCAACAGCGACAGAAAAACTATTAAAAGCAGAATCAAAGAACTTAAAAGTACTCAGAATCAAGTACCCAGGTACTCAAAAAGCCCAACTACATGGGCCCACTTAGTGCTAAAAACCTTAGAAATGTTTCAAAAACATACACATTTACACCCCAGATACGCTGGGAGGAGAGACCTCTCTTCCTTCCCCACCCCTGGAGCCCCCTCCCAGCTGGAGGGACATGCGAGTGCCCACACCTCAGTCCCTCCCTGCCCTCACACCCGCCCCCCCCAACCCCGCTGGCCCGTGAGTGTGGGAGGAGGAGCAGGGTGTTCTAGGCCCAGCCTCCTTCTCTTCTCTCTCTCACAACCACGGCAAAGCCGCCGCCGTCCAACCGCTCGTCAGCAACAGAGCTGGAGCTGCAACCCTGCTCCTCTATCTCAACTGCCTTAGCACTGGGGCAAGAAAAGGGGGAGGGTGTTTAATGGGCCCCTTAAAACTTCAAGAACTCTCGGGTAATATAATCTTTTTTTTTTTAAGATTTTATTCTCTTTTAGAGAGAGGGGAAGGCAGGGAGAAAGAGAGAGAGAGAAACATCAATGTGTGAGAGATACATTCATCAATTGCCTCTCACACGCTCCCCAACTGGGGACCTGGCCCGCAACCCAGGCATGTGCCCTGCCTGGCGGTCGAACCAGCGACCTTTTGGGCACTCAATCCACCAAGCTGCACCAGCCAGGGCAGGTAACACAATCTCGAGCCACCGGTAAGTCCCCAACAAAAGCTCAGCTACAACAAGTAGGACCTACAAAGCAGAGCTGTCGGAAGGCACAGCCGCAGGCCGCCCATCCCTGGGCCCGGCGCCTCCCTCCAGGCAGAGGCAACCAGGGCAGAACGGCTCCTCCCAGCGGGCCGGGCTCACTTTCCTCGCTGGGGACCAAGCCAGGCCAAAAGCGCACCCGAAGCCACTACCTGTTTCAGAGTCCGGATGCTTTCGTGGATTGGCCTGGGCAGCCCCACCACCGTGCTCGTGTCGCTGGGGAAGAAAGGAGGCCCTGTGTGAGGCCCACATGCCTATCCACCCAGGGCCCCGAACACCGAAGGCCGAGAGGGCGGACCTCTCGCCGCCTCTCCTCAAAGGGACTCAGGTGGCGCTCACCTGCCCAGAGTGTAGCCGATGAACTTGCTGCGGCTGCACTCGAGGAACATCTCGATGTCCTTCTCTCTGCCAAGGAAAGAGAGCAGGGTTTGCAGGGCATGCTACTCCGAGGAGCCCTGGCTAACAGACTCCCGAACGTCCGGGAACTGTGAAGCCGGGAGAAGAAACCTCCCACGACAGTTTCTCTTTATGGGGAAAAAAAAGAAAAAGAAATAAAGAACTGAAACCTTCCATCTACTTTAATGTCCTTCATAATGATGTTGAATCTATAATCTGAAATTGCATGTAACCAGTTTACTTGCAAAATTAATGTTGTAAAATGATTTACAACATTGTCATTGGAACTCCTCAAATAATTAAAATTTTTACAACAGCGAGAGCCATAAGCTACTGCTTTTCTCACGAGTCACATCTCCAGTCCCACACAAGCAGTATATCCTGCCTTTCCTGACGCTCTGCTGTGTATTCCCATCACGGGCCCCTGAAAACTGGGGCTTTACCTGGGTTAAGAAAATGCCTTTAGCCCTGGCTGGCGTAGCTCAGTGGATTGAGCTCGGGCTGTGAACCCAAGGGCTGCTGGTTCGATTCCCAGTCAGGGCACATGCCTGGGTGGCGGGCCAAGTCCCCAGTGGGGGGCACGTGAGAGGCAGCCACACAGTGATGTTTTTCTCCCTTTCCCCTTCCCCTCTCTAAAAATAAATAAAATCTTTAAAAAAAGAAATAAATAAGAAAATGACTTTATATCCTCTCACATGTTTACCTATTTCTTAAGTTAGTGCTTTTTCAAACCGTTACCATCTCTACATGTGCAGGTACCTTCCCATCCACGGGCTCACACACATGTCTCAGATCTGAATTACGGTTCCAAAGGATCTCTTCCTTCACCTAGAATTTTTATGTTAACCATATACGATGCCAGGGCGTGTGGAGATGAGCTCACTGGCACGTCCCTGTTTCCATTTCCCTCCCCCTCCCCCAGCCCGAGCCCAACCAAGAGCCAGCTCCTGTTGCGGACTCAGGAGCACACGAGGGCCCCTCGGCGCAGAGCCAGCAGGGCCAGCACAGGGCCCTGTGAGAGCGTCTCACCCAGGAGCCACGGCCGGCCCAGCCCAGTGGCAGACCTCGCGTGGAGACGCTGGCCAGGCGCCCTGCCGGAGGGTGGGAGGGCTCTGGTTCCAGGAGCCAAGAGCATTCTGAGGGTCCGAGGCTCACCTGACCTTGGGCGCCCATGGAAGCCCCTTCGGGCAGGTGAGCCTGTCGGTCTGGGGGTGCTGGAGCGGGGGAGGCATCACCTCGTCGCGCTCAAGGGGGAACGTCTCCCCTTCCAGACTGTTGTCATCGTCATTCTCCTCCTCCTCTTCTCGGGAGTCGTCGGCCTTGTAGGGGTCCCGCTCGTTGAAGGCATCCAAGTTGTCCTGCTTTATCAGGGCCTGCACACGGGAGGGGAGGGGGGAGCAGACAACAAGCGCCAACTGAGGACCTACAGGGGGCAAGGAAGCTGGCGAGGCTGGAACTCAGAAAGGTGGGAGGTGCAGAGCCAAGGGCAGTGGGAAACAGGAAGTCAAGGTTGGACCCAAATGACATGCCATTTCCTGTCCTAGTCCCTTAAAAATACCATGTCCCAGGTGCCCACTGAACACTGGGCCCCTGGACAGGAGACGCAATGTTCCTGCCCGAAGGCCTTCATTCGGACTAGCTGTTCAGAGACAACTCCCTACCATGCTTGTCCGAGGACCAAGCACCGCATGTGCACCTGCAGAACCCTTGGGAGTGGCCGGGACCCCTGTCGCCCTCACCTTGTGCTCCCGCCGACCCCGCTTCTGCTGCTGCTCGATCAGGTCGGAGGCAGAGGCCGGCGGAGAGGCGGCCCTCATGTTGCGGATCACTTTGATGCTGTCCTCCGGCAGCGGGGGCAGGCCCAGCAGCGTGCGCTTCTCCGCCTTCATGCTCTGCAGCTCCTCGAAGCCACCCAGCGTGCACTGCGTCAGACAGGGAGCAGGGCTGTGTCGGGTTCGAGAGCAGCCGGGACCCGCATCTCTGCAGGACCTCACCACCTCTGCACGAGGGACTCCCTGCACTCCCCGGGGAGTTCAGCGATGTCGGAAAGGGAGAGGAGCAATGGGGGCTGGCTGAGCCTACCAAACACACACACGTAGCGCTCTGTGTACGACTCGCTCTTCGGGTTAATAAAAAACGAACAAAAATGCAGACTGAAGAGCCTAACCCTTCCAGCTCCCAGGAAAACCAGTGAGCCTGTACGCTTCAGAAGGGGCACATGCCACACTTCCAAGTCAGACTGCAAATCCAGCTGACCCTGGAACAATGCAGGGGATGGGGTGCCCACACCCCACGCAGTTCAAAACCCACACAGAGGTGAAGTTGGCCCTCCACCGACTTCAGGGATTTGAAACCGCGAGTCAAAAACACAGCAGACTCTTGAACGTGGGTTTCAACTGCATGGGTCCGCTTGTATTTTAACAACCCACATATAACTGGACCCGCACAGCTTAAACCTGCGTTGTTCACGGGTCACCTGTCTATTGCAGGATATTCCAATTAAAAAAAAAAGCATCATCTAAACATCCCCCTAGAAGCCAGCAGTGCCAGCAATTTTAGGCCAATTACTTCCACTGTTTCTGAGCAACTCAGCTTTCCTCTCTGGCTTCAGGGAGGCTCTGGGAGGAGCGAACAGGATGTGCGGCCAAGACAAAACGTGCAGGCCACTGTGAGGAGGGCATAAGGCCCGGCCCAGGCCCCACAGGGCCGGCCCCTTCTGGAAGGAGGGAGGGAGGGTGAGTCCGAGCCCCAAGCCTGCCCCGTCCCCTGGCACCTGCACTCCTCCTCCTCCAGGAGGTGCTCACCAGCACTGTCTTCCAAAGCAGCAAGAGAACCTTCTTCATGGGGAAGTGAGGGGCGTGGCCACTGCAAAATTTGGTCACCATCCCAAAGAGCATGATGGCGAACGGCTCGTGGTTGTACAGCGGGGAACCTGGAGACAGCACGAAGGTGTCAGGGCCGCAGGCAGGGACAGGCCCCTCCCCGCCCGCCAGCCTCAGCGACCGGGACCCGGGGCCCCACCCAGCTCAGCCCTGAAGGTCTGCCGCATCGCCTTCCACTCAGCCGTGTCCCCCTCGCACTCCTGGTGAACGGTCTCCACAATCAGGTACATGATGTTGAGCAGGACCCTGCGGACGAGAAAACGGGGAGGGCGGGGGGGTCACGGGAGTGCCCGGCTTGCCCATACCCCAGAGGGCGTGAGGAAGCCGGAGCAGGAAGGCGGGCTGACGGGGGCGCTGCGGCGTCCAGGACACTGAGAGCCGCACGGAGCGTGCGGTGCCTCCTGCTCGGCCCCACGCTGCCAGGGCTGGGATCAGGCCTGTTCTGTGCCTCCGGAGTCTCGCCAAGCGCTTACTCAAAGCAGACGCTGGGAAAGTGAGTGCTGAGTGGATTACTGTGAACCAGAATGGCCGAAAGCACTTACTGCCCTGAGCTTCCCGGAATGAAAATGACACAGAGGCAGCAGCGAGCTGTGGAAGTGGGGGCTGGACCTGCCAAGGTAGAGTAGCGTGGCAGTGCGAACAGAGTGTGGGTACCATGGTGAGAGTCAGGGGCACACAGGATGATGCCAGGGACCCTGACTACAGTGGGGGCACCACCAACCCCCCAGTCTGAAAGCTTCGAAGTGCACAAGAAGAGACAGACCCTAACCCTCACAAGGAGGGGAAGGTGGCCTTGCCCTTGAGCAGCTGCTATTCCTTCTGCACAGCCATGAAGCGTCGAGAACGGTCAGGACTAACCGCACACAGACGGCAGTCGAGCTGTGCACGAGAAGGTGGGAGCCCACGGGGTCGCATCGGGCACTTCGTGCAACACGGAATGCCACAGCGAGCTCTCAGAGGCACTGTGGTTCTGTCACGGGTGGCTCCACCTGGGATTTCCTCTGGGAGACTCAGCCCAGAGCCACCCCCCCCCGCCTCCCCCCGAGCACCAGGAGAGCCCTCAGCAGGGCCGACGAACCCCACACGGAGCCCAGCACGCCTGCAGGGTAGCGTGTGAGAAGGAACACGCACACGCACACACACACAGCATGAAAACCCAAGGACGCCCCCCAGGCCCTGCTGCCCTCACCGTGGCCCATGCGGCCTCACCTCAGGTCCGTGCTGTCAGCCAGGGAGATGGCCGGCTTCCTCACCGCACTGCTGCACGCGGCGCTGTTGCTGTAGGAGAGACCGGAGTCAGCGCCTCCCCCAGAGGCAGGAGAGGGGTCCCCCGGCAAGCGCTGCCCCGTTGGGGGAGCACACCACCACAACCTGTGCTTGGATGGCACGGGATGCCACAGGACCAGGGGGTGAGACTTCAGGCCCTGGACCCGATCCTCAAGGCCAGGCAGCTCCGTAAGCCCGGCCCCCGCCCCCGCCCCCGCCCGCCCCTCGGGAGAACTCACTCTATCTCCATGTTCAGAAGCTCCACCAGCGCATGGAACGTGCCCACCTCCAGCAGCAGGAAGACGTTGTAGCGCATCCAGGTCTGCACTTCTGCCTCGGAGCCGCACTCCCCGAAGGTGCCTGCAGGCCCAGCGCACAGCTCACTGAGTCCCTCCCGGGTCTGGCCGGCCCCATCACCCAAGGGGAGGCAGGGGTCCGGGGGCCCACTCCGTACCTTGGGCAACGTAGAGAATGGCCCGGGCCACCTTGAGTCTCTTCTCCCTGGCGGTGACTTCCAGGCCATCCAGGAGCCTCATGGCATGGGTGCGGTGCTGGTTGGTGTCCAGCTCGGTCCACTTCTTGTCTGTCACTGCAGGGCAAGAGGCCAGTGACGCCTGAGCCCAGAAAACCCTCACAATGGACCTGACACCACGTTTGGCCACCAAATTCCGACTGCCACGGGACCAGAGAACTCGGAAAGATCAGTTACTCTCTGCGTAAGGGCAAGGACATACTGCTGCCTTATGAATTTGAATTTCCAGACTGAAAGAAAGAAAGCTGTTTTTGGTGCAAGTTCAATCACATCAAGTGCCCTTTCCCCCCAGCACTCACACCCTGAAAGGCCACCACCAGTGTTTGCAAGCCCACCCTAATGTTGCATCTGGCCTGGAACAATCACAGGTCAGCAGCCTTCGCCGGCCACCCCAGGACAACTGGGGTGTTCAGATACTGTGAGACGCCCTGCGGCCCTCAGGACACGGGCTGAAAGGAACCAAGAAGCGCAGGGCGCCGCTCACCGTGGGTCCGGAAGTCCTCCTCAAAGCACTTCCGGTTCATCAGGAACTCGGGCCCTTCCGTGTAGCTGTAAAGCTCTGTCAAGAACACAGTCTCGTCAGCTCCGTGTCCACACTCCCACCAGGTCCCACGAGCAGCAGAGACTGTGTTTTGTGACTGCTAAGGGGGCCTCAGTGTCCTGACGACCAGGACGGAGAGAAGGCTGGCTTCCCCGGCAGCCGACCACCGGAATGCCGGGCAAGCACACACGGGCATGTCCGGTCTGGGGTGTGTGACCCCCCCCCCCCCACGCCCTGCCGGCACGAGCACGCGTCTCTCACGTGGCGGCCCTCTCCTGGAGAGGACCTGGGCTTTGGGGCTGGAGGGGCAGCTCAGCAAACCCCAAGTCACACACGCGCGGCAGGCGTGCCCAGATGCAGGCACACTTGTGGGCAGTCCGCACGACCACTGCTCTAGGCGAGACCGCTGTCGGGGACAGTGCGCGGCCAAGGAGCCACGTGCACCGAGACACTTCATCAAAGGAAAGGACCAGCCACAGTCATGGGATGCACGAGGCCCGAGCCCAGTAGCTAACCCGTTTGCACACACCATTACTATACTAAGACCCCCCGGGGGGAACGGACTCCCAGATGGCATTCAGTCTTCATTTTATCGAAAACCAATAAGGAGAAAACACCCCTAAGTAACACAAAGGTGCAGGCTTTTTACCCGAGAGCTCTGCGGCCCACTTGTCCGTGTCGGCGTACTCGAACTCCAGGTCTGGGGACTCGGAATAGCCCTGTTGAGAACAGGAGAGAGAGCCGACAGGTTGCCGAGATGCCAGAGACACTGTCGTGTGAAGGGCCGCTGCCTCCACTTCTCCGAAGCTCCACCACAACGCTGAGTCTCCCGAGCCAGCGCAGGCCTGGCAGAGCCCCCGCCCCCACTCACGACTACACACAGAGGCACGTGTACGTGTGAAGCGCCTGCCTCTCCAGGAGACCGCACGTTCCATCAGAGGGGGAACTTGGTCCACTTTGCTCACCCACGGTTTCACAATGCCCGGCACACTATTTGGCATGAATGAATGATGGTTTAAACTTAAAAAAATACATGCTGGGTGAATAACACAAAGCTTCCATGCATTCTGGGCAGTGAATGACCGTTCCACGCAGCGCTGAGATTCCAGAAGCACCCCTTCTGTCTGGCTAGCGGGCTACCAACAGCTCAGGACGGAATGAACGCTGACACCCTCAGTCGTCCTGCCCCTCTCTCAGCGTTCCCTGAGAACTGACAGTCGGAGAAGGCGGCAGCTGAATGGGACGGCTCCCCTCCCAGCACAGGAGAGAATGTGGGCAAAGAGAATCTTTTTATTGCTGCGGACAGGTGATCACTGAGAACACGTTATCTTGGAAGCCTCATTCTCAGAGGAGAGAAGTGGAGAAGGAGGCAAGTCCTCAGGCTTGATTACAAGCCACCGGGGGAGACAAAGACCACCCACAAAGGGACACAGCACAGCCGCAAACACTGAGCAGCACGAGGAGCCCGACCCCCCATTCAGTGGCAACAGAGGTGCACTTGCGCGAGGCCCTGAACTTCAGTTCCGTCTGCGGGATGGGGTGACGGAAATCTGCCTGGAAGGTTTCCAAGCATTAATCACAGCACGGGAGCGCACAGTAGGCTCTCACCAAGTGTCCGCCTCCCTGTCCTCCAGGCCCTGCTCCGGCCCCCAGCCTGCAGATCTCAGCTGGGAGCTGAGACAGCCTTGCTACCTCTAAGAAAACGCATTCAGACAGGGCTCTGGGCTTAAATGTGCCCCTGACCGACTTTCCTGGTGCTGATCCCAGATGGGAAGTAAAGGGTAGAAAGAGAAATTTAAATGCATCAAAGGTTATTTATTTGACCACTCACAGCTACTTAAAAAATTGTAAAATTCCTTCTTCACGGATGTCCCCCACCCTGCCAAAGGGCTCCTTAAGAGGTCGGTTTCTTCCCTTCATCAAATAATTCTCTTAAGAGCTCAAGGAATGTCTGCTTTGGACTTGCCAAGTTTTGACATGTTTTCCCAGGGGTTTGCCCTTGCCAACAAAAACCAAAGCCTGACTTCACACGTCTGAAGGCAGTACCACCAGGTGTTGATATGACCTCGGGCGTTATGCATTCCCTCTCATCAATAAGCCTCTGACTGATGACCCTCTCAACTGCCTCGGGGGAAGGAGAGACCCCCACAGTAAGTACTCTGGGAACAAGAAGCCCTAAATCGCTGCAACGTGAGTGTGTTCATTCATGAATTCCACAATGGGAGGCAGTGGGAGGAATTCTTTAACTCAGGGTGAGGCGACTCACCCAGACTCCAGCCTCTCGAGAAGGGGAGGAACAGCCACGAGCAAGAGAGAAGGGCACGCTGAGCTCTCACTCCTGTTTAAAATGTGTATTTCTGATCTTTCACAAGAGTTCAGCATCGGGCGCACCGGGCGCACCAACCCCCAGGCACTGTCGCACCGTGGCCTGAACCTGCCCTGGCTCGGATCGGATGGAAGGATTCCCCCTCTCCTACTCTCGCAACCTCCTGGCGCCGTAGCACCATTGGTGATAATTACCTCCATCCGGCTTCCATGGCCCTTCCCCACCCGCACACGCCGGCCACCGCGCGCTGTGGCACCCACAGGACCAGAGGCTGAGAGGGTTCGGGACCGAGGGTCTGCCGCCCGGCCCCCTGGAGCGCAAGTGTGCCACCGATTCCTCACCCGCAGAACTGGGGTGGAGGCGGCTTCCCAGAGGCTGGGGCTCCGAGAGCGCATCCACAGCTCCGGTCTCGGAGGAGCCAACGAGCAGCCACCGGCTCCCGGAGGTTCTCCCGGGCGGCGGAGCTCGGGGAGCGGACCCCGGCTTCACGCCCCCGGCCCCGGAGGTGCCAGCCTTACGTCCTGCCCCTTTCGCCCTGAAATGACAACTCCCCTGTCAAACCCTAGCGAACCCTCCGGGAAACCCAGCTGAGACCCGAGAACTGCCGCTGGCCCGGGTCCCCAGACACAGCCCGCCGGTGCTGGCCTCGCCCCCCGAAGCTTCTGACCTCCGAGTCTTTGCGCTGGTTGCGATTGAACTCTCGGGCTTTGCCGCCGGGCAGAAGACCCCCGCCGGCCCGCGGTGCCCCGGGTGGCGGCTGCGCGGCTGCTGGTGGCGGAGGCGGCGGCGGCTGAGGCTGCTTGTTGTTCATGATCAGCGGGCCCGGACCGCCGGCTGCCGGCTCCATCTTGGCTCTTCCACACCCCCGGCTCAACTCCCGTACAGTAGCTGTGATGCAGCTCTCGCGAGATTTCTTCCAGGAACGCTCCTCGGTCGCCATATTAAGTGTGGCGGCAGGTGCTGAAGCCATCTTGGCTGCCCAACGCCTCGCGAGATTCTCTCTGCTTGAGCTCTTACTTTTTTCGGTCTTCTTAGGTTCCTATTTCAAGTCAGTCCCAGTTTAGATGTCCTTGTACCTGTGAGACCTCCCTTAGCCCCTTCAATCATTTTAGTCGTCCCCAACTTCCTTTAACTTGGCTTTGCATCTGTCATAGTGAACAAAATGGACATGTTTCCAGTCTCCAAGGAGTTTACTTTCAAATGTGGCTCAGTGGACTGAGCGCTGCTGGCCTGTGAACCAAAAGGCTGTCACTCGATTCCGACTCAGGGCTCGTGCCTGGGCTGCGGGCCAGGTCCCCGGTTGGGGCACCTGCGAGAGGCAACTGACTGATGTTTCAACCCATCAATGCTTCTCTTGCCCATCAATGTTTCTCTCCCGTTCTCCCTCCTTTCCCCTCTCTGTAAAAATAAATTTCAAAAATCTTAAAAAAAAAAAACCCACACACAATGTGAATGTGTTCAGTACCACTGAACTGTATAGTTAAAAATGCTTCAATGGCAGATTTTGTTACGTGTACTTTTCCACAAAATTTTCTAAATAAAAAAAATCAATTGAACATTTGTGGGGGAAAATGGTAGGGGTTAGAGCTGGTTCCTATTATTTAGTCATATTTGCATATGACATTTGATTTTGAGAGGAAAATTAGAAAAAAGACCTCATTCACTAGGCATGGGAAGCACAGACAAGGAAAAAGCCCCGAGTGCTGATTTGCTCCCATTGTACCAGTGCCAGAGAAAGACAGTACCTTCCGTATCATATCTTAGCATTGGAGTTGAGATGAAAGTCTTTGCTTGAAAAAAATTGGACACAAACCCATCCCCTCTGTTGACAAATTCCCTTGGAAGCAAGAGGGAAGAGCTAGTGCCGCTCAGAGAAGGCAGCTGGCCCTTGTTTGTGCAGCTCAAGCTCCTCACTAGACTTCCCGACTAGGCAAGTGACCCTTCGGAAGTGATGTGCCCAGACAGGAATACAAAGGTGAGAGATATTGAAGAAAATGACCCATTTTTGGTGTGGCGTTTATGCACTGAAATGGTGGAATCAGTGAGTACGTGTGAGAATTTTTGTGGTTGAAAACCGACCAAGTCTGGAGCGCAACGGCCCAGCCACGGCTCATCAGTGAGCCTGGGGGCCCCCGTCGTGGGAAAACTGCAGACTGGCCTGGCTTCCGGAGGCAGGTTCCCTGGGCTGCCAGGACTTGCATTCAAGAAGCGCGAGGAAGGTCATGGCATCTGCAGTTTGGGTCTTCATGCCGATGCCGTTTCTTCTACTGAAAGAGTCTCTGCTGAGAAATGGCACCCCTGGGAAAACTGCCTGAGTACCCTGGGGAGCCTCAGGGTACCTTAGGAGAAGGGCCGCAGGGAGCTGGAAAGACCTGGGGTCTAACCTTAGCTCTACCTCTCAACTGCCCTGCGACAGTGGAGATGTTCCCCTTCCCCACGGCCCTGAGAGTCTGTCTCTCCCTGTAGGGTCTGAGACAGAACACAGGAATTTGCATTTTTTAAAGATTTTATTTGTTTTCAGAAAGAGGAGGAGGGAGGGAGAAAGAGGGGGAGAGAAGTATCAGTCTGTGGTTGCCTCTCACACGCCCCCAACCACGGGCCCGGCCCACAACCCAGGCCTGTGCCCCGACTAGGAATCCAGCCAGTGACCTTTAGATTCTCAGACCGGCACTCAGTCCACTGAGCCACACCAGCTAGGGCAGGAATTTGCATTTTTAACCAACCCCACATGCAACTCCGACACCAGAAACCTGGTTTGGGGCTGTTTCCTACAAGCAATGTTGCCCAGGGTTGAGCATGGACCCTCGAGCCAGACTGCCTGGGTTAATTCCAGCTCCACCAACTTAGGAGCAGAGTACCTTGGGCAAGTTACTTCACCTGCTGCCTCAACGTCCCCATCTGTGACATGGGGACAGCAGCAGTGCCTGTCTCAGGGGGTTACTGTGAGGGTCACGTATGCTAGCTGTGAAGCACACAGGACGGAGCTGGTCACACAACACGATACAAGTGTTATTGTTCTAGAGCCACAAGCCTTTGCAACTTGAAAAAAATTCCAAACAATCAAAAACATGTCCCTGGTTTGGCCAAAACTACTTGGCATCGAAACGTGATCTGAACAGATAGGAGGCTATTAATAGTTGTTACTTATCCCTTTTTCTATAAATATCAATAAACTTACTGAAGAAATACGAGCTTATTGACATTCGATATTGAATGCTACTCCACATCCCCCCAATAGGCATTGCCTAATATACTGTATATTTATCTATTTCCTAATAATCTGAAATATTCTCAATTTCAAAACACAAGGGGTGCCCTGGCTGGCGTAGCTCAGTGGATTGAGCTTGGGCTGCGAACCAGGCATTGAAGGTTCGATTCCGAGTCAGGGCAAATGCCTGGGTTGCAGGCCATGGCCCCCAGCAACCACACATTGATGTTTCCCTCTCTCTCTCTCTATCTCCCTCCCTTCCCTCTGTAAAAATAAATAAATAAAATCTTATTAAAAACAAAACAAAATAAAACACAAGGGGTTCAGAAAAGGGATTGTGAATTTATTTTCCTGTTGGCCAGAACAATGAGAAGATGCGCCATCTGCTGGTTGAAGTGGAGAACCACAGTCACAGGACAGCAGGATGAGGGGAAAAAGCCTGAGGATCAGATAAGCACGTTCCAGAACAATTTTTAGAGCACATTTTAAAATGCCTTCAACGGCTGCTGTGTGGGCAAAGATGACGTCATTTCAGTTTTAAAAAATTCAATTTATTAAAGTAACAAGTTAATAATACTACTCTATGCTTTTTACAGTTCAATTTATAGGTCTTTATTCGTAAATCTAGCAAATGTTAATCACTATTAAGGAGACTCTGAATATCCAATTTATAAACTTAAACTCCTTTAAACATTTCCAAATGCCCTTATACACTTAATATATTTGACTTCCCTTTTTTTGAGCACTTCAATTCCAAACCAAACGCAAACAAAAACACAAAAATACTATTAAAAGTTCTAACAGTGTCTAGTTTCCAATAGTACATATGTGTGTATATATATGCGCATCATTAATTGCAACTTAAAACTGGTCATGAACTCTAAATTTATTAGTTACACATTCTAAATCAAAACCATACATTCCTTCTCAGGTAATTTTTAAGTTGCTTCATCCATTTGCGGAGACTCCCCGACCCCAGAGCAAACCCGGGCCAGGACGCAGGTGGGTTAGCCTCTGCCGCCCGACAGAGCGCTCTCCGCAGTCTCGCCCTCTCAGTGCTCTCGCCCTCTCGGCGTCTGCTCTCACGGACACTCCCTCTGCTTTCCTACTAGCGTGCAGACCCAACGCCTCCAACACGCCTTCCCTTCATCACCATGCCTCCCCATCCAGCCTTCACGCCGGGCTCCACGACCTTTTTTTGTTTAGGGCTGGAGTGAAAACACGTCTGACCTCAAGGGCCGTTGGGCTGGAACGACTCCACTCGGCCGCTCCGGCATGCGGTGGCCACAGACATCACGTCCCGAGCGAGCAGGGCCATGCTCCCAACTTCTGAAATCTGCACTTGGATTTATGTGTGTGGAGAGAGTCTCACGGAATTTAAAAAAACACCCCTTCTACCAGTCTGCACAGAAATTGTCAACACCGGGACCGATTTAACAAAATGGAAAAGGTACTACTTTTGAACAGTTTTTTTTTGGTAAGATTTTATTTATTTTAAACAGAGGGGAAGGGGAGGAGAAAGGGCGGGGAGAGAAACATCAATGTGTGGTTGCCCCTTGTGCATCCCACACTGAGGACCTGGCCCACAACCCAGGCATGCGCCGTGACTGGGAATCGAACTGGCAACCCCCTGGCTCGTGGGCCAGCGGTCCATCCACTGAGTCACACCAGCCAGGGCAGAACAATGTTAATAGATACACGTCACATCAGGAGACAAGGCAATGACTTCGGAGATGGGAGAGGAGCTTAAGCTCACGTGACTCTGGAGACATTCTTCAAGGTAAAGGTTAGGTCCAGGCCTCAGAGGGGGACTACGCAAGTGGGGAGCCCTGAAGTGTAAGCAGCAGGCCTGCTTCTCGAAGACAGTGAGTGTGAAGTGCCCGGCACAGAGCGGGCACTCAGGATACCGAACTGAAGAGATCACTGAGAACTCGGACTCCAGCCCACGGCCCTCCAGGCTGGGTCCTCAGCAAATCTCTGCTAGGTACTGCCGACTGGCCCGTGACCTGCCCCAGCCTAGAAAACAGGTTCTAGCGAAGTTTGCTGTTCAACCAAAAACAACACAGACACCCAGTAAGGTCTCATCATTTTAATTGACTTTAATGATTATTGCTCATCTGCAAGGATTAATATTGCATTCATAAAAATCATTCAATACAAAATAAACTTGATCCTCCCAAGTTGCTCTCCACATGCTCCCTCTGATGCCAGACATTCTTCCACGGTGTCCTTGTTGCATGGCTTGACAGAGACGAAGCCCTTACCTACTGTTCCTATGGACACAGTAACAGACACGGGAGCAGGGGCCGGTCGGAGGGCGGCGGGACCTGGGCCCCCTCCCTCCGGCAGAGCTGACATGATGGACACCCCTGTTGGCCAGGTTACTTCCCCTAAAGGATGTGGTGTTCTGATTGGCTGGTTACCTGCCCTGGGGAAAAGGGCTTGAACCTTTAGCATCTACAGAGAAGCGAGCATGGCCGTACTGGCAAGGAGTGGGAAGGGGCTGGGTGGGGAGAAACAGGAGAGGAAAGGGAAAAAAGTTTGGCAAGACCGTGGTGCCCTGCCGGGGAGCGGCAGGGCGAGCGAGGGCTCTCCTTTCTCATGTTCCGGTTTCCACGTCTGTCTCTCTGGGCAATGGCGGTAGAGAAATGTAAATTCCTAGTACCCAGCACTAACACCTGACCCAGTTCTGAAGGATCACAAGCGCAAACAAGTTGAGGATTTAGGATCCTGGATAATTATACAGGTAAAGCTCAGGAGCACGCAGCTCACGTGACCATGCGGAAGTGCTGGTGAGCGGAGGCAGGGCCAGGGACACGCCCCTCTGACCACTGGGAGCCGCCCTGCGGGATTCCTCCAGAGCGTGAGCCAGGCCGGACTGGCTGCTTTCTCTACACGCACACTTCCCTTTCAGATCCTAGCTCAGAAACGTTTTGTGGCACGTGTCAATCAAAAGTGGTATCACTTCTGTAAAACTAATGTTACGCGGGGCCTGAGGCCCCGGCACGGTCTCCGCAGCTGGCATCCCCTCACCAGGGCCAGGACCTCCTTCCTCCTCCCGCCACACCCACCTCCCTTCACGCAGTTCAGGCTGCAGAAGCACAGCTGTCCAGAAATTTGCTCTTGAGGGATAAATCCTAAAAATAGAGCTCAGTGCTTTATACTGAGTAAAGGCCCGAGGAATTCGCCTTCAGCACAAGCTGTGTGGGGCAGAGCTGACAGAACTGGCGGTTATGACCCCAGTTCATTTTGAAGCTATAAACTGCGGGCTAGGAACAGGGATTTATCCGAGTTTGAGACCAGCACTTCTCCAGACTCAGCTCTGCCCTCTTAGCTCCAAAGCGTTAGAAGAGAAACTGAACCGACTAGCCACCCACGCAGTTCCTCAGCGTTAGGACTAAACATGTGTCTTACGTATTTTTTGAACAACAGAAATAAATGCTGGGGGACGAAATTCAACTTAACAGAGGGCAGTCTGGTTAAAAACCTGAAAAATGAGAGGGTCTGGTGGGAGTGGAGGAAGGGCTGTCCCAATCGGGGGGGCCCCCTGGGTCTGAGCAAACACCACCCACCAGCACGCATCTCTGGGCCAGACGCAGCCCCTCCACACAGGATGCGGGGCGGCGGGGGGCAATCTGGGGGGGAGGGCAACGTAGACCACCTACGTCTGACCCGCCTGGCCGGCAGGTCCCTCCCCTGCTCCTCTGAGGAAGTCAAAGAGCACTGACTTCAGCAGCTACGAAATGGGCTCTTTTAAGGCAATTTAGACACTGCAGATTGTTCCACCTCGAAGGTACCTTACGTTTCCTGCTGATAAGGTACCCAGTTAAGACTAAGTCCCCAGAAACAGTGAAGGAAGAGTCACCTTTCTGGGCTCGGAGAGTAAAACCCTTCTTTAGTGACTAGAGTGAGGACCCCTGAACCCCAGTTTCATCTAAAGAGCCACGAAGCAAGTTCCTGTGCCGTCTGCAGAACTTGGGCAGTGAGATGAGAAACAAGAACGAAATCATAGAAAACACATCGAGAGGAAAGGAACAGGACGAAAATAAAAGTGATCTTTAAAAAGCTTTCTTTGAGAGCTGTGTGGTTCACGTGGGCTGGTCCTCGGGGGTGTGGTCCGTCAGTATCTGGAAGCAGAGAGAGGGCAGCTCAGCCCGGCGCCGCACCTTCCGCGCTCCGAGGGAGGGGAGAGTGCGGAGCAGGCTCGCGTCCAGGGCTCGCTCCAGCCCGGGCTGGGGATCCCTGCCGTCACCTCCCTGTGCTTCCGCAGAGGCTCTGACGCTTCTGACAACGTCACCTCCTGCTCCCTGATAATGAGGGTCAGTGGTTTTCGGCTTGGCCACGCATTCGAGTAATCTGGGGAGCTTTTACAGAATAAGCCTCGGCCCCGTCCCAGACCAATGGTATTAGACTCTCTAGGGGTGGGGCCTAGTCTCCAAAATGGCAGAAAATGTCTACTTCTTCGCATCTGCTGAGAGAGAGAGACTGCCCCTCTGCCTGCCCTGTTAGCTCGGGCGGGCTCTGGAGCGCTTCCGAGCGGGGTGGAATACCAGCTCCGTCCGAGAAAGCTGGCTAGTCGGCCTGGCGTAGTGCCGGGGGAGCGAGAAGAGCTCCTCACTCGCTCTCCCCCAAGTTACCTGTAGTAATTCGGCTTGAATGGCCCGTTTTTGTTGAGTCCCAGATATTTGGCTTGGTCATCTGTCAGCTCTGTCAGGTGGGCGTCGAAGGATGGCAGGTGCAAGCTGGCCACGTACTCGTCTGGGAAGAACAGTGACAGGGGAACAGACTCCACTTCGAACCTGCCTCTGGGGGGTGGCCACTCCCATTTCCATCTGAAGCTTTTCGAGAACGGATGAGGGACGGAAACACTTTGGAAGAACTGACAACTCGAAAATGCGGTTACTTAAAAAAACCTTGACACACTGCCTTTCTAAAGCAGGGTGTTTCTCTCAATTTCCCCCGGGTGCATTTAGAAAGCCACTTGCCAAGGTGATAAACCGGGATGAACTTGCTCCTCCCCAACTTTCTCTGGCAAAGCTTTTGGCTCTACCTCAGTGGCCAACACACCACGCACTACTCTCGCCTTCCGGTGGCAACTTCTTAGCTGGGTCACAGTCACGTTATGCGTCCAAGTGGCCTCTGGGAAGCTCCAAGGGCCTTGTGTCGTTAACATTTATTCAGGATCAGACACAGGCCTCCCATCTTAGGATCAAGGATTTCTAAGCGGCTGGCACAAATTTATTACATTTCCACGGATAAAGTTCTTGGGCTTTACTTTTATGAATGAATTTTTTACAAAAACCAATGTGAGGTAATAAGAACAGTAAGTTTTTCAGCTTTGAGAGGACAGGGCTTTGGGCCGATCAGTTGTAGTTGGGAAGGGGGCGCCACAGAGCAGGAAGGTCAAGAACTGGACGGGCTGTAGTGTACGTCACAGCAGCACAGCACAGCCGTCCCCGAGAATGACGAGAGGTCGTCTGCAAGTCAAACGGCCGATGCACAACCAAGACCACACTTGTTTCTCTGTGTCTCCTTTTGGCCCCGAGCGGTGCTCAGGTGGAGTGGGCAGCGGGAAGGTCACTGAACTTCCCCAGGCCGCACAGAGCCAGCGCATCCCCTCCACCCCTCCCGCTGAGCACTTCCACTCGCCAGCTGCTGTTCTTACTACAGCTCTGAGACCCATGTAGTATTATTCTTGCTTCACTGGCTAAAGAACAAACGGAGGCTCATAGAGATGAGAACTGTCCTGAGGCCCAAAAACGTCAGTGCCAGACCAGGGATTAGAACTCTGACGCTCAATCCCATGCTTTTCGTGCCGCTGCTGCTACCGAACCACGCAATGGGCTGGAGTCAGGAGGGGCTTCTCCTGTTTCCACTCACCCATTTTCTTGGGCAGCAAGTACACATCTTGCTTGTAGCGCCCCTCAGGTGCATTATAGAGCTCTATCAGTGCCAAAGCCTGAGTTGGGAAAAGAGGGTCAGAAAACCCCAAAACCCTTCTTAGTGACACCGCAGGGCCCTCTCCTTGGCGCACGGGTCGAGGCCCAGTTCCACTCATCTCAGGCGGGATGAGCGGGCAGGAGGTCACGTACCTGTGTGGTGGCTGTGATGGACAGGACAAAGGTGGGGACTGTGGAGCAGCTCAGGTTGAGCAGACGGCCCTGAAGAGGGAGAGGGAGCCGGGGTGAGTGGTGCCGTCCCCCTGTCTCATGCCCCAGAGTCATGCCAGTCACACCGGTGCAGGGGGAGCCTTTGTACCCCCGGGCTCAGTGGGCAGAGGAAGAATTAGAGTTCTAGATCGGGTTTCATCTTACTTTCTGCAAGCCCCTGAGCTGACAAGCTGAAGACTCACGTGCAGCCAGGAAGCAGTATGTTACTTGGTGAGAAGTAGGTATTTTTTTGTGTGAGTCTATTTTGGGGACCAGATCATCAGAGAAATGCTGCCACCCAGAGACAGAGGTCAGGGAAGCAGAGGCCCCCACCCCCCACGGGTCTAACTACACAGCCCGGGCTGCGCTGGCGAAGTCCCGCCGTGTGTACCTCTGCCAGGAGGACGACGCGTTTGCCATCGGGCCAGATGACGTGGTCCACCTGAGAACGGACTCGCTCCCACGTCAGCTCCGGGGTGCGGAGGCTGGTCTGAAAGGCACATAGCACGGTGAGGGGCGGGGCCCCCGGAGGCAGAGGGAAAGGCCCAGCCGCCGCAGACGCGCGGGAAGGCTCACCACATCGATCTCCGTGTTGGAGTGGCCCATGTTGCACACGATGCAGCTGTTCTTCATACGGTCCAGGTGCTCCCGCGTCACCACGTTCTTGTTTCCTGCAAGGGAGGGGCGGGCTGAGGACAGCGGTGCTGGGGAGCAAAGGCGCCGGGCAGCTGGCAGTCAGAACACGGGCAGGAGGCCTGCCAGCGCTCCGGAGCGTGGGCACGCTGGGCGCGGAGAAGCGCGCGCCGGGCGACAGCTCTTCGGGCTGTGCTACCTGGCTGTAAGGTGGAGCAGCACAAAGAGCCACCGGGGGAAAAGGCTCTTTGTTCTGGGAAACGTGCGCGGGTTCCGACGGCCTCCTCTAGTTGGGAGGCTCTCACGCGGAGCACGGGTCTCACCTTACGTGAAAGCCGGTCTGAGCTCTTCAAAGGCCCAGCCGAGTGGTCACTGCTCCGGGAGGAGCAGAATGCCGACACTCACCTGTGCAGGTTATCACGACGTCCACCTGCCGGATGACCTCGTTCAGCTTCACCACCCGGAACCCGTCCATGCTGCAGAGAATGGAGGGCGCCGTGAGCACAGCCCGGGGCCAGGGGCAGAGTGCTCACAGGACTAGACGAGCGGACCCCTTTCTGCGGTCAGGCCCGGCGCTCCCCCTCAGGGGCAGGCGGTGAGTGACAAGCCGTGCTGGACTACACGCACCGGCCTCGGACCCCACGCAGGGAGGGGAGGTGCCAAGCAGCTCGAGGAGCGCCCTGGGGTTACATGGAGGGAGAGCAAGCCCAGCCTTCTCCTCCTCCCCAAGGAGCGGTCCCACACCCGACGGCAAACCCAGGAGCTTGGGGTGCGGGCCTGGGCCCGGGCGCTGTGCTCACCAGGCCTGGAGCGCGCAGATGGGGTCGATCTCCGTGATGTAGACGATGGCTCCGAGGGCCTTGAGCGCGGCGCAGCAGCCCTTCCCCACCTGCAGAGCACGGGGAGAGGGCCGGCCGTCAGGCCCCCCGAGGCCTGGGGCCGGGGCTGGGGGCTCCTGGGGAGGCGGGAAGTCCTTGAGACCACCCATCCACTGGCGGCCCGTGCAGGGGGCGCCACCCCAGGCAGGGCAGAAACGGATCCAGATTAGGCTGTGACTTTTCGTCGGACATTCCATGTCTCACAGCGAGGGCTGGGGCTTGGGACAGGAGAAAAGGGACGAAGGGAATGCAAGTGTCACCACTAGGGAAACGAGGCCGGGAAGAGTGACTGCCACCTCTCGTCTCTCGGTCCAGAAGGACCCGCTAGCTCCCTCAGACACACCGCACCCAGCGGCTCCGGAACCCTGGCTGGCCGTCGCCGACAACGGACGACGGACGACGAAGCCCCTGCGCCCGCCCTAGTTCAGAGAGACCCGGCCACACGCCACCTCGGAGTCTGCCCCCGCTCCACGGCCGGTCGCTCGCGGGGCAACGAGGGGGAGTGACGCCAACTCGCCGTCCCACCAGAGCAAGTGGTAAAACCTGGAAACCCCACTCGTTCTGTGTGTCTTTACCCAGGAGTCTGCATGAAGGACTTCTGCTAAATGGAGCACGGTATCTAGGAGATACGTTAAAGCTCGGATCGGCGACGCTCCCTGCGCGCGCCCCCCCGGACAACCCCCAGTGAGTCCGGAGAAGACAGGCACCGGGCGGCTCCTCACCTCGCCGTAGCCGCACACCACCACCTGTTTCCCTCCGAACATCACGTCCGTGGTCCTCTTCAGGCTGCAGGGACAGACAGGGCTCAGTGCGTGCACTACCGGCTTGAACACAGCCCCTCCGCGCACAACGGAAAGACCTCCAAGCGGAAGCTGGCTGGGCTCTGTGTGAAGTGGGCCGCCCCCCCCCCGAAGCCAAAGGAAAACTGGGGGACAGGCCCGGGCCGGCACAGACCGTTCCGCACCGCAGCCCGCGCCCGCCGCGCGTGAGCTCCAACGGCTCCGCGCTCCAACCCACCCGTCCAGGATGGACTCGCGGCAGCAGTACAAGTTATCGAACTTCTGTTTGGTGACGGAGTCGTTGACGTTCATGGCGGGAACACAGAGCTTCCCGGCCTTGGAAAGCTGATACAGCCTGGGGGGGCGGGGGGGGGGCGGTGGGAGGCCACAGAAACAACACAGTCAGCTGGTAGAGCAGCAAAACCCGCCCGTTCTCTTCCGACCCCACGCTGCCCTCCCCGGCCCGGCCACACCCAGGGAGGGGGGTGACCACGACGGCACCCGTGTCATCCCTCCTCACTTCATTTTCTCCACCCCGCCCCCTTTTTATGGAAGGAAAAAAACGTCCTTTCAGTTGAAGAAACTGACCTCCCCCACAACGGGGATGTATCTCCCTAGACCAGCACTTCCCCAGTCTCCACGGAGCCCACGCCTCCGTCCGATAAGCGAGATGACCAGTGACTCTGCCCCGGCTCCCGTGTGCGCGAGGGCCCGGGCCGCGCCCCCAGCGGGCAGAACTCTTCGCAGGGGTCTTTTAGGGGCTCTGACAAGCCAAGGGTATTTTGCCCAGTGTACTTGGTGTAGTATGTCTAAAGTACTGTTTTACAATAGAATTTTTTCCGGTTCCAAATATAAGATTATAATACAATATTGAATCCAGTTTTTCAAGATACACTCACTCCCTGCCTCCCCCGCTGGCTGAGAATCGCAGTGGAGTCGGCGGGAGAGAGAGATGTGTAAACCAGAGCCCAAAGGAACTTCCTCTTAGGGTCTCCTCGGGTGCTCCAGTAGTAAAAACTCAGGCAGCCTCCTCTAACAGAAACACTCAGACTGAGCCCCTGCAGGCCCGAGACGCGGCCCCACAGCTGAAGAGGGACCAGCAGCCCGTGCTGGGGCGAGGGCACGGGGCAGCCGCCGCGGCGCCCGTTACCTGTGAACGCCAGTCACGCTCTCCTCCACGATGCCTCGGATCTTCTTGAACACGTTTGGGTACTTCTTATACACCCAGTGGGTCAAGTCTCCCCCATCGTCCAGGATCTGCAGAACAGCCAGGAGACTTCCGTGGGCATTCCGGCTGCTAGCGCTGGGGGGACTGTGAACCCGCTTTCCGCACTGGGGCGAGAGCCCTGTGTGCTTTGGAGGGGCGCTCCCCGGCGCTCCCGGGAGCAGGTGCAGACAGCGGGAAGAGTCGGGTTTGCTGGTGTAAAACGGCTGGAAGGACTCCTGGGTTTGCTCTAGGCTCCAGCGGCAAGTGTCGGGCTAAGGGCGCACTTGTGTCTAGTGGAGTCCGGACCCGCAAGGCCACGCCGCGCGCAGGAGAGCCCCGCTCCGGGGAGGCACCGCGCCGGGTTCCTGCCTGCCGCCTTGTTCTGCGGCCGAGCCGCACGTGCTCAGTCAGCCTCACCCCGCCCCCCTGCCCACTCGGCGCCCAGACCCTCTCCGAAGGGCCGAGTGCTTCGGTGACAGAGCGCGCGAGGCAGACGGGACGCCCGCGCCACTCAAGGAACCAAGCTCCGAGGGCAAGGAAACGACCCCACCGCCCGAGCGCAGCGGGGCGCGGGGTTACCATGTTGGGCTGCCAGCCGTCCGTGCTCACGCAGCGGTCAATGCACCACCAGAAGTCGTCTTCCGACTCGCCCTTCCATGCGAACACCGCGACCCCTGCACAGACGGACACAGGTCAGCAGCCTCTCCCGTGGGCACGTCCTACGCCAATGGCACTTTCTGAGAGCCCGGTGGAGGGAAAACCACCCCGGAGGTGCAATCACTTGGGCAGGGCAAAGAGTCAAAACAGCGCCTGCAGAAGTGAGATCACACATCCACGTGACCGAGCACGACACAGGACGCTGTCAAAGGGACACAAGAAGCCGCTTCTGACGGCGTTGTGCTTCGGTTGTAAAACTGTGCACGTACTGAGACTTATTTCATTTCTGTCAAATGTGAGTAGAGAAATGAAAAAATCTGTCAAATACTATCATCTCTGTAGCACGCCTATGGTGTTTTATTTCGGAACCCCCTAAGTTTTTTGCAATAAACACCAGAAAAGAGTAAATAACGAAACCTGAAGTGTTACAAAGTTGCTCTCCGAGCATCCCGGGCAGAGGGGAGGTCCTTACGCGGTGCTTTTCTTCTGAACATTTTAACACTAACAACCGTTTCACGTTTAATGGGATTCCCAAGTGGTCCATGTATTTTCGAAGTAACAATGAATACAAAGATCTCACACAGTATCAACCCAGAAGGCACTGCGCGTGTTGTGATGAGACTGGTGGTGAAGGGAGGCCCGCTGAGCGCGTGTTTCTGTATAGCTCATGTGGTTTAACATTCTTCCGCGTTCATTCAACATCAGAATTGGGCACTTCCCCCAGGTAACTGGATTCTTTTCCAAGGTCACTGTTAATGACCCTATGATATATCATCATGGGTCTGAACCTTAATTTTATTATCCGTGTTCTTCCTGCTGCTGCTTTTATTGCCCTCCACATTTTACATGGCACTGTAAAGACAACTCTGATACATAAAAACTACGTTTGGGGCGCTGTTTTGAGGCAGAGCTGGTGATGACGACGACGACAAGAAGCTGAACTCACCGGCCTCGGCCAGCGCTGCAGCCACTTCGTTCTGCGTGGAGTAGATGTTGCAGGCAGACCAGCGGCACTGAGCCCCCAGGGCGCACAGGGTCTCGATCAACACCTGTGTGGGCGCACAGGAGGGCAGGGTGAGGGAGGGGAGGGCCGCCGGGAGCGGCACACCGGAACACCACACCCAGCAACTCTGGCAGGCCCGACACGGGGAGGTCACAGGAGGTGTGATCCAGTGAGACAGCACATTGCTATCTGGCAGCCCCCAAAAGATGTTTCTGAGGTCTCGACATTTTTGTAACAATCCTGTTTATGCAAATAAATAGTAATCTATTTGCATAGATTTATGCAAATCTAGCTCTCCCGATGCCAGGTCTGTGAAAAGCAGGTCACACCCAGACAGACAAAGCAGAAAGCCCCACCACTGTGGACAGGGCAGTTCCATCTGATGGTGAGCAGCATTTGGAGGTTGGATAGACAGGGAAGGAAAAGCAAGTTTAAAAAAAAAGGTGCTCTTTCCCCCTCCTCATCAGAAGTTTCTCCGTTTTCTCCCAGCGAACTCACCGCGGTCTGGGCTGTGATGTGTGTGCAACCCACTATTTTAGCACCAGCCAAGGGCTTCTCCCCCTGAGCGCGTTTCCTGAGTGAAATCAGAGCAGACATGTCTGTGAAAGAACAGAGGGTTTGAGCTGCGCCTGCACGAGCACCAGCAACGATTCCTGCACGAGCATCAGGGAGGGCGGGTCTGGGTCCGGAGCCACGGGTGCGGGGAGTCAGGAAAACCCTGAGCCTGTTTCTGGGGAAACTGGCAGCATCACCAGCAAACAACAGGGAGGCTGTCACCCATTCACTTGGAATGTCTCTCTTCTGCTGTTTCAGACTTACATGCAAAGGACTAAACAGAGAACGAATTCTCAAAACTGATCGAATAGAGGGTGTCTCCTCCTTCCTCTGGGAGGACAGGGGAGCGGCCACAGCGCTGGCTAAAGGGCTCCTACACGTGACCAAACCACAGATCCAGGGGAAAGCCTTCCCCGCAGCGGCAGCCACTTGCCCCCGTTTTTCTCTGCGGTCTAACCCTGTCCTCCCGGTCAGCCTCTCTGGCTCCCATTCCCCTCCCAGGACGGAGCGCGCTTCAGTGGGAAAGCAGCGCAAGGGTACAGAGACGGCACTGGATGTGGGATGGAGAAACCAAGACTTAACTGTCAGTCACTTTTACTCTTGTCCTAGCAGAGGGTGCTCGGGACTGAAGGCCAAACGAGGCCCTAGGTCACCCCGTCCTGCTGAAGACCCCCGCCACCGCAGCTTCTGGGAAAGCCGGGCCCCAGAGACAAGCAGCTATGGCCCCAGAGACAGCAGTGGCCCCAGACTTGCTGACCCCGCAGCCAGGTCCCTAGACGTGGTGCTGTGGGGGTGGGGGGACGGAAACTACTCTCTGTATTATTACCACGTGCTGGGGAAGCAGGGAGGACGAGAACAAGAGCCCGGAGGCCGGGCTCCACACACAGATCTGACTGTACGTGAGCCCCGGATCCTGGCTTTTCCCAGGAGACCTCCAAGTTAGCGTTCCAGCCTCAGGTGGTTTGTTGATCCCCGCCACCAGTAAGAGGCTGCTCCCGGCCCCACCCACGCCCCTCCTTTACCTTGCTCCGCAATCTCAATCTCCCGGCGTCCAAATTCTGCCTGCTTGATGTTCTTCACGCAGAAGTTGCTGCTGCCTTTGGAGTTGGTTTGCTGCTTCTCCCGGGGGGAAACCTCGTCATCAGAGCTGTCTGTGTAGGACGCCGCTAGAGCCGGGAAGGAGAGACGAGGACAGAGAAGCCTCGATGGCCCCGACTCCACCGAGTGCGGGCCCCGCGGGGCTCCCGTTTCCGTTACGCCCACGCTCCTCCGCGCTCCCCCAGGGTCTCATAGACAAGGGGGGGCGGGCAGGGGCGGAACTGCTGGGCCCACTCAGGGCTCTGGCCCTCACGCCCAGCCCACTAGACGGTGCCGTTGGTGCCTCTGATAAGGAGCGACTGACTCCCATCTGGCACCAGTTTCAGTGAATCCCAGATGATGAGGATACTGCGTCCCCACCCGAATTAGAGCCAGACTGTCAAAAATGGGAGACTAATTTAGGGCACCTAAGGAATGCCACTTCTATAAATCACCAGTCTTAAGCATCTAAAGCATCTAGGCCCCACCCCCAGAAATCCCCTTCAGAAGGTCTCAGGTGGGACCCAAGAACTGGCATTTCTGCCATGTCCCCAGGTGTGGGTCGGAGGACCACACTCTGAAACCACGAACACGAAGGAAAGCGGTGAGATAGTCTCACAAGGGCCTCTGCACTAGGCTGCGCCGAGGAACATGGCGGTGGGAAGAAATGACACAGCAGGTGAGCAGCTCTGGCTCTGAAGAGCGGCTTCACGTGAGAGCTGCAAGGTCCTTGCAGAGAGACACGCAGGAGCGCACACAACCATCCCTGCTCGGCTCCCAAACCACGGTGTCCTGTCGGACTCGAGCGTTCCCCCGACCGCCGTCCCTGCCGCTGCGCCGGGCTCTCCTACTCGCTGCCTTCTGCGTACCCCAGCGAACGGACCCTACCGGAGGGGCCTGCCCCCCCAGGACAGCCCGACCACGTCACCAAGCTTTCAGAAATGCTCTCGCAGGTTCCTGTCACACGCGGCCTCTGAAGCCTCTGTTACAGCTTTCTCCGCTCTGTCCATCCTTCCCCCTCCTACGGCTCAGTCCTCCACCACTGGCTCTGTTAGCTATGAGCAGCCAGCCTCCTTGTCACCAACCACCTTTCGTACCCGTCGCTCCAAGACGAGACACCTTTTCATTTATGACAGCCACTACACTGGAACCCCTTCTTGCACACAGGCCCGTGGTGAGTCTGTACGTTCATCTGTCTCAGTACTTAACCTTGGGTACCACCATCTGCCCCTGTCCGCCCATCTTGTCTGTGCTGGGTTATCAGGCACAGGGTGGAAAGTAAGTTTTTAAAAATGTGTTTGTTTGTTTACATTCCTTGCACCTAAAGCCCTGTCTTTAATGTTAACAAGACGATACAAACGATATTCCAGCAAAAGACAATGGCTTCAGTATAAATCTCTTGGTTGCCACTAATCACAGCCTCTGACTGGGGGCGAGCTTCTGAATCTTCGAGCAATGCTTCCTCAGCTGAACGCGGGGGGCCGGACGCGGTGCCCCTGTGCACCTCGCACGTGGGTCCCCCCAGCACGCAGATCCTGAGGGCCTATGTCCTCTCCAAGTCAGTCCTCCAGGGCCCACTGGGACGGCGAGAAGGGCCCAGCAGACCACCCACACGGGGCTGAGGCCAAAGAGAAACAGAGCCAGGGCCGTCTGAGCGGTGGGAATCCTTCCCGCTCCGGGGCGGGCAGCTTCCACAGAAAGGATGACCCAGTAAATGAAAGGAGCAAAGTACTAACGTTTATTGTTACAACCCAAGAAGTCTTGGAGACAAGAAACAAAGAGATAGGAAGCAGGGGATATCTCAAACAAAGAACTCAGGAACTATGCTTTCAGAATGCCCCTCTTTCCAAGGCCAGTTCCGTCAGCCTAAATACCGCTGATCTCCCTCCTCTGGTAGTGTGGCGGATGGACAGACGCACGTGGGAGTGGGGACTGGCCCCGAGCGACCCGCCAGGCCCTGGCCACAGACCACACAGGGAGAAAGCCCGGGGAAGACAGCCTCGTGATGACGGGAGTGTCCCCAGCGACAGGCTGGCTGCGACACTCTGGCTGCCCAAGCGGTCGGAGCGGGCTCCCTGCACACAGCTGGGCGGCGCTGCCAGGAGGCGCTGCTAGGCTGCAGGGAAGGGCCCCGGGCGGGGGCGCTCGCCTACCTGAGCTGTAGCTGTCCGTGGAGGACTGCGAGATGGACCGGGACAGGGACCGGCGGCCCGTCTTGGTGGGGAATTTGGTGAACTCCTGCATGTCATCAGCAAACTGGATTTGCTGTAAGAGGAAAACAAAAACGTTGAAAGCTTACAAGGATTCTGTGAAATGTCCCATTTTTAAAGGCCACAGGGAGTCTTCCCTAGAAGCTGCCATCACGTAGCACCTACCACTGAGCCCACCGCTCTTCCCACCAGAACTGCGGGCGGCAGGGGCCGCCTTCCTGCTGCTCCCAGAGCGACAACCACTGTCTCTGCCCCGCTGTCGCAGCGGAAATGTCGGCACCTGTCCAACTTCCCAAGTTTTCCTTCCTCTTCTAACCTTGGTACATTAAACCCTTTAACCTCCCTCCCAACTCTTTCAAAGCCAGGCATATTCTCCTAGTGCTTCTGCTTGCTTGTTCCTTTTCCAGAACGGTCTCCTGAAGCACATCCTTATCCTGAAGACAGCAGGGGCCCTCCTTCTGGGAAGAATTAGGAGAGGCCCCAGAGCGGCGCTGTGCTCCCGGGTGCCAGCAGTGGGGGCCCATTGCACCCCTCCACTTCACAGCGCCAGTGTGGCATCCCAGAGCCTTGCGTGTGCAGTGACACACCAGGACACACGAATGGAAGAGACATTAGAAAACATCTGCACACCACAGTGAATTCTAACTGCTCAGGACTCGGTGGGAGGGAGGAGAAAGTCACGACCCAGTGAGCTCTGCCTTAAAAACTTCCTTGAGTGAAATGAACCAGAACTCCGTAATTGTTTGAAAGATATTTGGAAAACTGGCTTTAAGCAACAGCAAATAGTTTATAATTAATATTATTTATAGGCAAATTAATGGCTGTTTCTCAAGAGTATGAAGACACCTTCTTCTATAAACCTTCCTCCTGAATTCCTCGTTAAACCCCGATAAACCCTCTTTAAAACTTCGGCCTCCTGACAAACAGCGGGTTGAGAATCTGAACTGAGATTTTCCTCACAGCCCGACTGACCAAATCTGCAAACGTTTCCATGGAGAACCCATTAAGCTAAGTCTTCAGCAAACACCTCTGGAAATGTACGCTATCGCAGGTTAAAATCTCTCCAGCAATGCTAGCAACATGGTCGCAGCCCCTTTGGAGCCAGGACAGTGAACTGCCCATTTGTTACAGCTCCCAGGAGCCCCTCCGCCGTCCCGAGTGCTCTCCAGCCCAGGCCTCGGCTGTGGCCGCGGCGGCCTGCGAATCAGGCCGAAACGTGCAGCCCAGGCAGGAGCGGCTGGTGGGAACAAATCGGTTAGTGAATTAGTAGGTCTCCACGGGGAATAAAGCCGCAGTCAAAGGGAACACAGATATGGGGTTCACACCAGGAACAAAAGCAGAGAATCCCCTCGCAGTAACAGCCACTACGTTAGGGCAGCAGGCCCGACAGAAACACCCACGAGTATTTCCACTTAAACCCCACTCTGGCTCGACATCCGACTGGCTTGTTTTCTTCCGCAGGCCACGCTGCGGAACCAGGGGCGGCGGGGTCCACAGCCTGCTCTGCTGCCGCGGGGCAGAGCGCGGGGGCAGGGAGATCAAGGGCTGCCGGTCCCACCCTGCAGCCCAGGGCCGCGCACACGGAGAGTGTTCAGTAACTCTCTGTAGAATAAGTGAGCCCTGCACCTGTCTTCAAAGATCAATTCAGTAAAATTTCAAAAATAAAAAGTGACTGCCAATAAAGATCCAAGCTAAACCACGTATAGTGCACCACAATTTCTGAAGCATCTTTTTCATTTTAGGTGCTACAACTTTAAATAGCTTGAATGTCTAAAGCAAAACTGCCTTTCCATTAAAAAAAAACAAACAAAAAAACCCCCCAGAACTCAAAAAACAAAAAACACCCCAAACCCACTGAAGTGGCCACAGCTCAGCGCCTACCCTTCCTCCGGGTCCCCAGACAGGACTTCCTGCTGAGTGTTCACGTGACGGCTGCAGTCGGCAAAGCCGGTTTCACCGGACGGACAGATGGACGGATGGGCACGGCATCAAGGTGATGCCGACCCTCGCCCCAGTGCGTGGTCGTGTTGGTGGCAGAAATAAACACACCGTCAGGAGACCACTGGTGCCGTCGGAGCCTCTCTGGAGGCAGCCCTCCCTCCCCGGCCTCCCCGCTCCTCGTGCAGCAGCCTACTCCGAAGCTGCGCTCTCTTCCTGGCTGTTTCGGCTCCCTCCTCCCGTTCACCTCTTTTCAAAAGGTTCTCCGTACATTCCCAGGCACCGCCTACCAGAGGTGGGGGTGGGAACCGCAGTAACATTTGCAGTTTTTTATATAAAAAATAGAGGGGCAGCTGTGGCCAGACGGAGTGTGTTTCTCCTGCACCCTAAGAACTGAGTCACGTTCCACCTCACATTAACACAGGCCATCGGTCGCCTAAAGCTTAGCAGCTCTTTCCCGTCTAAAGACATTAAGCTGTGAAAATAAAAATATCAGACTGTGCTGCAAGCAGCTTATGATCAGTGCAGAGCCCCACCTCGCAAACGATAAACACGCCCCGTACTCCCAGTGGGCGGAGTGGGAGCTCGCGCCGAGACACGGACGGGCGGCTGTCCGTCCCTGTCGCTCTTTGATCTTCTCCCTGCTCATAAATAGGGGACCCAGCGACACAAAGATGCTCGATGACCTCGTCTTCTCTCCCACCGCAGCTAGGAGCCCTGTCCTCCCCCTGGCGAGGTAGCCCCTGGACAGTTGTCACATGGTGAACAACACCACTGTTGCCAAAAGCAACCTTTGGACGTGGCAGGTTTTCTCTGCAGTGAAACCAGAGCTCCGTCACGGCCTGCTAACCAGGCTGGCCGAGCTGCATTTAGGCCAAATATGATCAGCGAGGTAAAAACAAAATCCAAAGCTGTTCTGTTCACATTACTTCCCTTATCACGACTTCTTCCAATCACTCTTAAGTCTTAATTGGTGTCCTTTAGAGTTTCTTCACATCCAGATGGGTAGGGAAATGCTAGGGCTAAATATGGCGTAGGATGGGGAAGTGGAGGAGGGAAAAGGAGATAGGTAGCTGAAGTCCAGAAAGTATCCGAAAATCAAAAAGTCCTGTTAAAGAACTGTCTGTCTGGACACTCGCCACCCACACACCAGCCTTCCTCACAGCACGCACAACGGCGTTCCATTCTTGCACTACTGCCACGGCCGAGACAGGCCAGAAGGTCAGGCAGAGGCACTCTCCAAATAGCTCACCCAAACACAGCAGTCTGCTTGCTGTGCCTTAAAAACTCAGTTAACTGTCAGGCCAGTTTAACGTGCTATTTTAGAGCACCTCTTCGAATGGCTCAGCGGGTACGAGAGCTGACTCTCCTCCATGTGCTGCTGGGGGCGGTACAGGGAAGCCCTGGGGAAGGAAGAACGTGGGGCCCAGCACCGCCGCCACCTCGCGGGGAGGCTGGTGCACAGGGAGCTCGGAGAACCACCAAGGACAAGGGATCGCAGGCAGCCGCAGGAACAGTGGCCCCAGCCTCCAGGGGCGGCAAGTGGCTGTGCACCAGGCACTCGGCTGGCCCTGACCGCTGAGTTACTCTCAGAAGCCGAGCAGCTCACTTCCACAAACACGGCCTCTCCGTGCAGTGCAGACGTTACACCGCTCGGCTTTCCTTCCTGCCCGGCCCCACCCAGCCGTGCCCGGAGCTCCTGAGTCAGAGAGAAGTGACCTGCCCGACCTCCCCTGCCACACGCTGGCCCAGGGACCGGGATCAGGAACCAGGATAACACCCATGGAGCACGTTCCCCAGCCTCCCACTCGCCAGGCACCACCCAAGGACCCAGTGCCAGTCCGGCAGAGACCTGTGGGAGGACACGTGGTCCCTTCCAACCTGCAGGCGTGCCCTGGCCCACCAGGAAGTGAATACTAACACGGGTGGTTTGTCACAGAACGTTCCTGCGTCGTCAGGACCGTGCCACAGGCCGCAGTCTTCACAGCCTCACCTGGTGTTCTTCACCCAGGCCCCCACACACCAGGGAGCAGGCGGACTGCGCATGGAGCCTGTGACTTCACAAGCCTACCTAAGAGCTTTCCATTTGCTCAGGAAGGTTTCCTCCTAAGGGTGAAGACTAAACTCAAGGTAAACAGCAAGTTCTAGGAAAACAAATCATCAAGGGAGCACACTTTAGGAGCGGGCAGAGGGAACGGTCCTTCTCACGGCCGAGGATTCTCTGAAACAGCCAGTACCCTCCTCCATCAGGCACACTGACTCTGAGACAGTCCCAAACTCATTACATCATCTTTCCCACGGCCTCCGCTAGCATACACGTGTGATTTTCCTGCGAAAAAATTACGATCAGTGTCCTCCTCAGCTAACACTCAGCAGCTGAGCCAAGAGTGGCCACCGGGAGCTGGAGGCGCGCACAGGGTCCATCACTGAGCAGTGAGCAGCGTGCTGGCCGGGATGCCCTCGGTCCTGCCGGCCTCTTCGCACACACGTCTCCCAGCTGATGCTCTCCTCCTCTACCGAGCCTCTCCCCCAGCTCCGTTCTCAGTGGGAAGGAAGCGGGGAGGGCCGTCAGCTAAACAGGTGTAGGACCTTTTCTTGGTACTCACCCCCGACCGGCCTGAGTCCCACCTCAGATGCATCCGAAGAAACCGTCACCTACGAGCCCCAACTGCTTGGAAGAACTACGTCAGTCCAAACACCTGCCAGACCTTCACTGAGGTCAAGGAAACGTCCCCAAGAAGCAGGGCACCCCTTCCCAACATGCTGCCTTCAGGTGCGCCACCAGGAAGTGACTCATCTCCGGGACGCAGGCTCACGCCGCAGGGCCGCTCCAGCGCCCGCTCCAGCCATGGCTCCCCATCCCTGCGCAGAAACCAGTCTTCCGAGACACCAGGCCCTCCCTCCCCGTCTCCGGCTTCTCAGGTTCTCAGTTTCCCCAGATGGGGCCTGAGTTTCTGGGGAGGGGGGGGGCCGGCGTGGGCTGGGGGGGCAGGGAATGGGCAAGCTAATCACAGCACACAGGTCCCTCCCCCATGCGCCCGTCTCCACGTCCTGAGAGCAACAGGATGTAACACACACGCTAGAGTCCGATTCCAGGCAGAAGCAGCACGCCTTTCA